CATTTTTGTTCACATGTCTATTCACAATAACATGACTCCAACAGTTGCCCTCTATTCCTAGATACGATTCATCTTCCACCCAAACGTTTCACCCAAACGATTTCAATAGTAGCCTCAGTTAAAGGCATTGTTATGTAAATTTTGGACAGAACATTTTGGGAAACGGAGAACAATTACATAAATCAACGAGCCTGACTAACAGACAGACAAACTGTTTTTGTGACTGCAACCAATTGACAGATGATATCACCCGAAAGCAAGTAAACGCAATAGGTCTCATTGCGCACCTCTGATATTGGATTTTTTGACATGTCTTTCTGTTTTGTCAGTTCTCACATAATATGTAACCAATCATTTCCATATCTGTAGAACAATTGCATGTAATACCATTAGGCTACGTTATAGAAATTTTCAATAGTTTGAGTTATCAATTGCTGAAAAAATACGTGTCAAAGACTCAAAGAGCGATTCATTTTTTGGGTCGCCCGATATATATATTTCAGACGGTAAAACTGTAGAGAAGTTCGAAAGTATTTCTATACTGCTTGCTTAAGTCGAACGTATCTCTCGCCTTTCATTTTTTGCCTCACCTAATGATCTTGGATACGTCCTTATTTAAAACAAAGCAGGTACATATAAAACACACATATTCTAAAACAATCAACACAATTGTACATAGGGTAATTGATTAATTATGAGTAACAAGAACTCCGATAGACAAAATCAGAAATGCTAGCACTTATTCTACCATACGCGTTAGAATAGAATCACGCAATTTAACATCATAATTGTCGTTAAAATTATTACACCATATAGTAGATAATTGAATGAAGTATATTTGAGGGAGGTTTCAACATCCTAGTTTTACTTATAAAGATTTAACAAGTATGGGGGGGGCTTTTTAACCCCCCCCCCCAGGCGTTCGTGTGACTTTTTACCTTCGGGCTTCTAGGATTAAAAAACAAGTTTCAAATATATGTGATGATGTAATGACTAACCACCATCAAGGTAAGTATCCTCAGTCGCAGTAATGACGTAACCGATACAATCAAATAATGTGTTTCGATAATAGGTCGTGCGATGGGCAGGGGTTGTTTCCGTTACGACTCTGAGATCAGCATCGAAGAGATAACCCATGAACGTCAGATTCCCCGAGGCTTTTTCCGAACCCATTAGCAGTTGCGTGTCAGTTAGGTCACTCATATCGACATTGTACCTTTGTTTAACATATGCAAGAAATTTCCTCCCTAAAAGTGTAATAAATTACTAGCAAACTAAACAACATTATTTTGTATATGATAGACACATAAATATGATCAGCGAATTCAACCATTGGACAATACATACCTTATAATGGGTAATTTTGCTTATAATTTGATTTGCCTATTGGTAAATTTTTGCCATGTTCGAAAAATTAAATATTGTATTCATAATGTCATCCAATGGAAAGTTTTCTTTTGTCATTAGGGAAATTAAAATTGAAAATGGTGAAATTTGACCATTCGGCTAGTTAAGTACTCTGATTTTTTTTTAGGTTATTGTTATTTATTTCTATATAATTCAACATAATTATTTACATATACTGTGAGGGACCGAGGCTACATAGCATTATTGGCCCCCCTCGGAATAAATACCACTAATACCACACTTCCATTCCATTACAAATATCAATCATGGATTTTCCATTATGATTTTGAAAACTATCCATTTATGCTATTCCTTAAAAACTTTAAATGCAAGAATCTTAATTAACATTTTCATGATATTGAATAAATAACTATTTTATAATTCGTAATAGTACGAGAACAGCTGAAAGCTTGTCATTGTGTCTGTTTACATTATTGTTTTACAATATTACTACCTCTCTGAATGACGTCTTTGTCTGTTTTCACATCGGGATTAATCGAATTCCATGGTTTTGTAAAGCCCCCTTTTGGCGAAGCAGAGATCAGAGGTGTATGAGAATCCGCCATTACTGAAAACGTCACCAGTCCTTCTTCGCTTTTCGTCGTTTTCCCATTTGCCCTTGTTTTTTCACAATTGTCACACTTCTTAGCTTTTCTGCACTCGAACGCGTGTGGAAAACATGATATTAAAATTACAATGAATATTAAATGGTTTACGACTGCTGTTCCTTTCATGTTTGGTACTTGATCTGACTGTAACTCGGAATGCATGGGTTATATATGAGTAGACAAACATAAACAGTATACAGGGTGTCCAAAATTAACTTTCCGTTCGTGGTTATGCTGCGAAAGACATTGCCAGCTTAAGGTATCCATTGTAAGCTTGTAATAATTTCGTAATATCACAACAGTTGAAATTTATATTGCTCTTATAACATATTACATATAGTCTCAGATAATATGGTCGATATCCTTATTTCTAATCTATTTAACTTTGTGTTCAAATGACCAGAAATTCAAATATTTAAAAAAGAGAAATACAATTGTTTTAAAATCGATTTTTGTTGATAACATTAAATATAGTTCTCAATCACAACTGTGGTCATGTGCGGTTGGTTGTTGGTCGAATACACATACGTATATAACACAAGTATGGTTTTGATGACATACATTTATGTAGTTTATCATACCTGTGACGTGTATGTATATTAGTGCGTAACAAAAACGGTAACAGGACTGTATCCCATAAAAAGATCAAACAAATGCTCATCCAACCTAGTTGACAATAGTAGACACATGTCCACTCCGTGCACTGCTTGTCTTCCAATATACAGTATACTAATGGTGTGGATCCTTGACCAATATGTGTTATGCTCACAAGTATGGAGCCTTACACTCATAACCCTGGATGAAGTCTTACTCTAGTATGGGTCCCTAGACTGGATGTCGTCTTAAGTCTAGTACAGATCCATCACCTTTTAAACATTTGAAATTTTGTTCAAACGATTGAAGCGCCACCTGCGTTCTTCTTGAGAACTAAAACTAGGGACCTGTCATTATTACGTACTAAACCTAGGGACCTGTTACGTTACATAGCAATGTGGCATGTCACTTTGCCACATTAATATAATGCAACACATCTTACTTTGTATCATTTTATTCCGACTTTTTAACATTTTGGGGATTTTTTTCAACTAAAAATTTGTGTTTGAAGTATGATTAAGAATTGAATCGATGGCTTCACAGTCGTTGAATACCGAGAGTTCCATATCGAAGCATACATTACTTTAACAAAGACTGAAAGTTTGAATAGAAAATTGCAAAATATATATGTCAGGTATAAAATTGAAGATTCAATAAACACGCAAATAAGATGCCTCTACACAATATTTCATCTAACTTGTGCCACTTCACCCGATTGATTTTCGACTATATAATTATATTTTATCATTTTAATTTTGCACGTCATTGATCTATGGATAATGATGTAACAATAAAACTCTTCCAGCTACTTCAAGATATATCGATGATTTATTTAATTCTAGATTAACATGAACGTTACACGAATAAAATGCATTAAGCAAATGGTATTTTGATATAAAAATTGGATAAGGGAAATATATGATGACATTCAGATTTCAAAACAGATTTCAAAGAATAATGTTTATATCCATGATTACCATACAGATCAAATATTAAAAATCATCGCCGTGCTTTCACTAAAACCAAACCACCTGTCTGATTTTTTGGTGTAAATCGGATCTTTTTAGTAACTATAGTTACTATGGCTTTGTTGCACAGCATTAAGCAACAAAATCATCTACTTCCTACTTGGTCATCTTTTTTTTATTTTTGTTTTTATTAAGTTTATTAAATGGTTATTCAATATTTGTATAATATCTTCAGCACAATCTTAAAAGCATTGTTTAATAAAACATTTTTAAATAGCCATTTCTGCAGAATAGCATCATAAATAAGCTGGTGTACGTGTTATTTTAAATTTTTAAGATCATCATTAATCAATGACTGGTACCATAAACAAAACTAATAATATCTGTTATGAGGCTTCGGGGAATTAAAGCATATCTATAATGACTTTATCAAAAAAACCAAGATGAACAATTATCTCATTCGGTGTAATATATGTGGTAACATTTTATCCGTATACCTTGTCATTGGAGAGGTTAAGCTTTGCATTATATAATCGAAACTGAACCTGTACGTATCACTCGACCATATGCAAATTCATGTAGCCTTCTCATATAAATAGCCGTTCAAATCCAGTGTTTGTTTAGACTACACCATAGCGTGTAATGATTCTATAGTATGTCATTGATGCGGTTTTATAGCTGGTTTTCTAATACATAATTAAACGAGCTCGTTTCGTAAGATTTTTGGCGCTAAATCATGCATGACATACATCATCGTGTTCAGCAAGAATTCAACTGTGCATCGAAATCAAAATTGACAGCATAGTGTTCAATAGACACGAGTAAAATGGTTCCCGTTGACCCAACGTCAAATTTCAAATCTCCCGTTCTAAACCCGAAACTCTGAAGCTGAAAGAGTATCTGAAGTAGACTAAGCGCGCATAAAACTATGAGCGCTCGATACATTCCTTTGTTAATTTTTGTACTTTGCGTTCACGGTTACGTTGTGAAAAACATCGTTAGCTTAACCTCTCCATTGTCACAAAGACCGACAGAAGATAGTAAATACAAATTATTTTTTCTCGATATAAACGAAACTGGCTTTATATGTTAACACTAACGTGGATGAATATATTTTTATAACACTAATGAATAAAGGTGGTCAGATGCCCCCCTCCCCCTCCCTTTGCGTTTCTAAAGTTAAAAAGGTATAGTAAAAACTAAGGCACCATATTATAGGTCATTTAAACCTCTCGAGGAACGTGTATTAAAATCTCAAAAGTAGGTCAAATTAGGTCAAAAGTAGGTCAAAGTAACACAAGGGGAGTCTTTTTGGTGTATTTTTACCTTTCAATAAAAATTGAAAAAAAAATTGTCAAAAAGTTGCAGCATTGACCAATTTTCATGACTTCTTTTGCTATTAATCACAGATGTTTGTTTGTTTGTTTGTTTATTTGTTTGTTTGTTTGGTTCTAAATATTGTACACATCAAATATATCTCTATATTCACTGATTTATGTAAAATATTTCAAATAAATAAAGCCATCCGAGATGAGATAACATTTTTAGCGATTGTATTGCAATTTACTGCTAGCCACTTGTTTTCCAAATACTTCAGATTTTTCTGTAATATTTTGATGCATAAATTATATTTGAAGTAATCCAAGTTCATAGGTTTAACATTTCCTTGGTCATTCGTTGAAGCGTTTCCTTGTTCAAAGATCATGTTCTAATACAAGTAGAGCAGTCAGGTCTCTCTGTCTTTCTCACATGTACTGCTATCGCCTGAAGTAAAATATATAAGTGATTTTTATAGATGCTTCACCTTCGGGAGACTCGGAATTATGTTTTGCTTTTGAGGTGTGCATTAATATATTTGTATTTTTGGAAAATAATGAACAATACTTGGTATGTAATAAAATGTACTTCAACTTCGTGTCGTTGTTTGTTTTCTGTACCAAATGCAATTTGACCCTGAGTTCTAAGGACGATTCCTGCTCAATTTTAGAGTGACAATGAGACCCGTCATGGGCGTAACAATGGTTATTCTAATAAATGCTAATGTCTGCTATATGTAATGTTTATAAAAATATGCCACCTTGTAATAAACCTGTTTACATATATTCTCTTTCACATGGAAACAACTGGAAATCAATGTTGTTATCTTACATTTTCTTATTTTTGGTGAAACGCATTCGCATCTAGAGCAACCATCCTCAGCTGTGAAAAATTCTCCTCGCAAATATGTCAAACCATTCGCCTTGCACTTATTACAGAAGCGTCTATATTCACACATAACCTTCCCTGTTTTCGGGTGACATTTGCAACGTGTACAATTGTCTATAGGGTCCTTAAATGCTCCGCCATCTATAATTATTCCGTGAAATTTACACGTTTCTGTAAAATCAAAAAAACGTCGATTCATTATAATATTGAATTGTGTATGCTAATACGTATATCACATTCCCTTTTTTCTAGTGAAATTTAAAGGAGGGTACAATCGTACATGAAAATCTCAAGTGTTTCACCATCTATAATAACCAATCCATGAAACACACAGATCAAATTCTTACTAAAATCCTCTTAGTAGACATCGTTCACTTTGTACTCCGCAGTTGCGTATACACACTTCATATTCGAAACCATTGTCTAAAATCAATACACTCACTTTTTGGACAGCAAACGGACCATCGGTTTTTAACATCGACCTTGCATTTATAAAACGGAACACCTTCACACGACTCGCCATCTATCAGACACTCGACATATCGTCCATCAGAGTCCGTCAATGGGTTCTCACATGGGAGTGACTTGTGGAGACAACAGTACCCATCAGGTACACACTTATGACCATTCGGGCAATTTTTGTTCCTAATGCATGGTTGTCGTGTGTTTGCGACAATGAATGGCTCACCGACGGCACATGTGTGGTAATTTGGACATGCAGTGCTGTTACCTTTTTGCAAAACGCATTTCATTTGTAATTTTTGTGAAGTTCAAGAATTTGGAGAAGATAAATTGTTTTTTAATAAAATATTCATTTTTTCCAGCCAATTCTGGCAAACCTTTTTTCCCAAGTAGGCATTACTTAATCGTAAAGGAAGAGGCTTCTGGATGTTATATTAAATGTGATACAGGCGTAGTATGAGTACCTGTACAAGATCATTCATTCTTGATGCGCTTTCTGATGTTATATTACCTTAACCACCTTTCGTAACAATATAATGCAAAAATATTTACATGTCTGTAGTTTAGGAGAAATGCATGTGCACTTCGTACATCCATCCTTGCGCATAAAGGAGTCCCCGCGCATATACGTGGTACCATCAACCGGACATTCATGACACGTTGTTGGAGTAGGTCTGCACTCCACAACTTCTCTCTTTTTGCATTTACACGGTGTGCAATCATCAAGTGGATCAAAGAATCGTCCTATCACGAAGATCTGGTCCCTGTATACGCACGATGCTAAAGAAAATACAACGATTTAATTCACCCTGTTTAAGTTATGCGCTCTTTGTTTTTTGACACACAACAATCTTTTTACAATGCAGTCCGTTTAGTAATGTGTTCCTAACTATCAAAACTAATAAATTGTCCGAATTCAACAAGATAACCAGCATTGAAATAGATTTAGATGTCAGAACTTTGGCTCTGGTCATGAACACAAAACTGTGTAATGAAAATGCAAAGTACAATATTGCTGAGGTTACCTCCATTTTTTATGGAAATGATGTCAGAACTTTTGGCTCTGGTCATGAACAAAAAACTGTGTAATAAAAATGCAAAGTACAATATTGCTGAGGTTACCTCCATTTTTTATGGAAATGATGTCAGAACTTTTGGCTCTGGTCATGGACACAAAACTGATAAAAATGCAAAGTACAATATTGCTGAGGTCGCCTCTATTTTTATGGCGCCATAGGATCGCTTACTTACGTTGTGAGCAGCACATTGACCACCTCCCCATTACGTCTAGTTTACAAACTGACGTTTTCGTCCCCTTACAAATAGTGTTGTGTTTCCTGCATTCCATAAGTCCTCCTGTAGTATCATCTCGTATAGGTTTGGCGCATGCCCATTGGTGACTGCAACACATACCGTCGCTGCAATAGAACCCATTTGGACAACTTTTCTTGTCGAGGGGATCACACACAACATTTTTATTCCTCACCGTGAGTGTTTTGCTATTTTCTGGGCATTTAGCTACAATTGGCTGCTGACGTTTTACTCGATTTCCACGGCCACATTCACTCCTATCACCTAAGAACACGAGTGGTAATGATGGTAACAATAATGACATAATATAAGATGATATGAATGGTTCTATTGGATGCTTTAAATAAATGTCCATTTGACACCAACATTACACAGGCGAAGAAACAAATACAACTTTAAATTAACACCGTGACTAAAAGAAGTCAAATGTACCTTAAATTGTCCCAAAGCAGGAAAGGTTATTTAGAAATCTAGGATCCCAATTTCTGTCATGCTGCTGGACTTAATATGTATTGGGACCAACACCAGGTAACATTGTATTCTAGTTCCTACTTATGTCCCATCACAGTATACACCGTCACAAGCCAAAACAAACATCAGATTCTCCAGCAACATAAATGCCCAAATTGCAACTAGTGTCCCTTCACGTAAGGGACAACACTTAACTGGAGAAAGCATAAGCGCAGCACTTGATCCCACATGGCATGTATGCTACTACAAGCATTTTCAAAGTTGTCCTCACAATGCATATATGCTACTATAAGCATTTCCACAGTTGCTCCCACAATGCATATATGCTACTTCAAGCATTTCCAAAGTTGTCCTCACAATGCATATATGCTACTACAAGAATTTCTTACGTCACAAATATATACACGATGTAATAATCACGATACATCTAACAAATTATGTATAGGATATAGTCCTGAGTAAGGACATTAGCGGTTACCGTTAGTGATTTGGTTTTCTGAATAAAAAGTCATTTTCTCCTTCCCTACCCCATTGGAGCGCCATCTAGCGTTTGGGAAGTGAATCGGGACTAAATATTTATAGGGTAGGTCCTAATTTATCTGAAAACATGTCAGAGTTCAGTGGGAAATCTCATTTTAAGCTGGCGGCGGAGTGATTTTGACCTTGGTGATTTTACCAGAATTCTCTGAGAAATCTGACGATAGAGGGGGTTAGTGTCTTCAAGTTTATTTATTTCAAAAATTCGGTGGACAACCCATGGTAAGATTGTTATAGCAGGCTAGGCGAGTCTCTCCCGAACACTGTGGTATGTTGCACTAGGCTTGGATACTAATCGTTAATAAGATACAGGGTAAAATGTTATAATGGCCACCTATGGGAAACTCTACTGTGGTCTTCAACCTAATAGAAGGCGCTTTTTGGGGGCATTTTGAAGGTTTTATCCCTTTTTGAGGTTTTTTAGTTCATTGAGAAGCCTAATAGCGCATATCATATTAAAGGGCTGTATCTTAGCTGAACAATGCTATCAAAATCGTGACATTTTGAAGCAATTTTGGTGCTTTGGGGGCGAGGCCACTGTGCCAAGTACCCCGAATTCCATTCTCCCGTGCCATTCAATTGTTTTCGGGGCAGTTTTGAATGAACCTTTGTTTCTTCCTACCAATATGACGTCATAAGATGCAATCGAACGCCTTGGCATGGATATCACTTGAAAGATAGTAGAAATCGCTTTCCCACGATACCCCATATGGCCATGTTCACCTCAGTTGGGTGTACTCAATCTGTGATGCAATCTGTAAGGTGTACCCCTACCCCAAAGAAATTTCAAGAAATCTCAAAATCAAATTTCCTGAATTTTGCTAAAAGGACCTGTGTCTATAAGGATTGAATTTTCCTCCGTGCATTTTCTCAAATATAGGACTGTTATCTACCATTGTGATCGGGATAATGCCTACAATGCTAATATAACCATGTTGGAAGAAAACAAACTAATTCAGTTTACTATTAGAAGGCGCTTTTTGGGGGCATTTTGAAGGTTTTATCCCTTTTTGAGTTTTTTTAGTTCATTGAGAAGCCTAATAGCGCATTTCATATTAAAGGGCTGTATCTTAGCTGAACAATGCTATCAAAATCGTGACATTTTGAAGCAATTTTGGTGCTTTGGGGGCGAGGCCACTGTGCCAAGTACCCCGAATTCCATTCTCCCGTGCCATTCAATTGTTTTCGGGGCAGTTTTGAATGAACCTTTGTTTCTTCCTACCAATATGACGTCATAAGATGCAATCGAACGCCTTGGCATGGATATCACTTGAAAGATAGTAGAAATCGCTTTCCCACGATACCCCATATGGCCATGTTCACCTCAGTTGGGTGTACTCAATCTGTGATGCAATCTGTAAGGTGTACCCCTACCCCAAAGAAATTTCAAGAAATCTCAAAATCAAATTTCCTGAATTTTGCTAAAAGGACCTGTGTCTATAAGGATTGAATTTTCCTCCGTGCATTTTCTCAAATATAGGACTGTTATCTACCATTGTGATCGGGATAATGCCTACAATGCTAATATAACCATGTTGGAAGAAAACAAACTAATTCAGTTTACTATTAGAAGGCGCTTTTTGGGGGCATTTTGAAGGTTTTATCCCTTTTTGAGTTTTTTTAGTTCAATGAGAAGCCTAATAGCGCATATCATATTAAAGGGCTGTATCTTAGCTGAACAATGCTATCAAAATCGTGACATTTTGAAGCAATTTTGGTGCTTTGGGGGCGAGGCCACTGTGCCAAGTACCCCGAATTCCATTCTCCCGTGCCATTCAATTGTTTTCGGGGCAGTTTTGAATGAACCTTTGTTTCTTCCTACCAATATGACGTCATAAGATGCAATCGAACGCCTTGGCATGGATATCACTTGAAAGATAGTAGAAATCGCTTTCCCACGATACCCCATATGGCCATGTTCACCTCAGTTGGGTGTACTCAATCTGTGATGCAATCTGTAAGGTGTACCCCTACCCCAAAGAAATTTCAAGAAATCTCAAAATCAAATTTCCTGAATTTTGCTAAAAGGACCTGTGTCTATAAGGATTGAATTTTCCTCCGTGCATTTTCTCAAATATAGGACTGTTATATACCATTGTGATCGGGATAATGCCTACAATGCTAATATAACCATGTTGGAAGAAAACAAACTAATTCAGTTTACTATTAGGATATAGTCCTGAGTAAGGACATTAGCGGTTACCGTTAGTGATTTGGTTTTCTGAATAAAAAGTCATTTTCTCCTTCCCTACCCCATTGGAGCGCCATCTAGCGTTTGGGAAGTGAATCGGGACTAAATATTTATAGGGTAGGTCCTAATTTATCTGAAAACATGTCAGAGTTCAGTGGGAAATCTCATTTTAAGCTGGCGGCGGAGTGATTTTGACCTTGGTGATTTTACCAGAATTCTCTGAGAAATCTGACGATAGAGGGGGTTAGTGTCTTCAAGTTTATTTATTTCAAAAATTCGGTGGACAACCCATGGTAAGATTGTTATAGCAGGCTAGGCGAGTCTCTCCCGAACACTGTGGTATGTTGCACTAGGCTTGGATACTAATCGTTAATAAGATACAGGGTAAAATGTTATAATGGCCACCTATGGGAAACTCTACTGTGGTCTTCAACCATATTAGTTGTATAGTGTCCAAGCAACAAGCACCATTTTTCAACCAGAAAACACTAGTGTACGCCATGATAAGAAGCATGGGTAAATCAAATTTAAATAAGCATCATTTATCAAAAATACACGATTTTACTTTCCTGGTTTCATGAAATTACATATTTCATTTTCGTGTTTTGTATTCATGGAAATGACGTGTTCTACTTTTAAACATTTGAAATTATACAAGAGTAAGCCCATCGGTATTTTGCGATCGGTTTACTACTACGATTCACGAGTCAATACTACTTGGGATACAAAAAAGTAATCAATCCGATTTCACTTTTTTAATATTTTTATTGCCTATGAATAGTTACATTTTACTTGATAGTTTCCTCATTGAAATATCACGATGTTCGTTACTTTATATTTATTGTTATAAAATTTGATTTGTAATTGTGACATATCTATCCGATATTACAATAATCATTATTACATATATTGTTCGTAGGTGAGTCACATTCGCAGATACTACAGCCATCGACATCAGTGTATATCTCCCCTTTGTTATAATAAACATCGCCTACTTTGCAAACCTACATATAGAAAGTCAATTGTTGTAATATGCACCATCTTTATTAACATACATAGTCAATAGTTTGCATATGGACTACCTATGTTGAACACACGGTGCATTAGCTTGGTCATACTCTCAAATCACGAGACAACGGAACATATTAATAATTTGATAAGTACTTTCAATAATCATTTAGAGAAGAATAAATTAGAAGAGAATATAATAATAAAGATTTTTATGGCCTGTAAAAATCGCATTAGTTACACGCTGGACATATATACGAAACGTATTCCTATAATAAAAATTAAATAACTCATTCGTGCTTACTTTACAATATTGTGGCAGTTGATGACACGTGACTACATTTCGCTTCTTACACTTGCAAGGTGTACAATTATCTTCAGGATCTCTGAAATGTCCAAGGACGAATGTGTCGCCTTTGAACGTACACGTGTCCGTCTTACAGCACAAGGACCATCTGTTGTAAATGTCGATCTTACAAACATACTGAAATATATGTCGAAGTACAATGGATAACTTAAGGTATCGTATCAAAGATAGACATACTACATGAGATATTGATTCATGACAATGCAAACCATTTTATTTCAAATGAGGTTCATCAGTACCCTAATAAATGTGCTGTTACCTTAAGTTTGTGTGGCTGTTTTTTCTTCATTGGATAACAGTGTAATTATTTTGTCACAAAAATGATATAAAAACTTAATAATGTATATATTATATTTTTTTATCCTTTATCAATTCCCTGAAGCTGTTTATCAGGAACCTGATGCAAAACTTAAAGTGAGTAAATGTCACTTTGACATACCAAACCAAAACAACGACAAAGGCACAGAGAAACCTACGTTTTTAGTACCAGGACATATAGCATTGTGTGTGTTGCACGTCTTGAAGAATCCAGTCTTTCTATCAATTAGTTTCTTTTTACACGGCATTTGTACAGGACAGCATACGTTATTGTTGCATAGATATCTGCAATAGTATGAAGTATTATGATATGTTAAAAATGTTATGGGCACTTCGAAATATTTATCATAATAAGATAAAAACAGTCAACTCCCCATTTAAATATAATACTTATACATTAATTATATTCAATTTGATAAGTTATTTCTTAGGCATTAAACTTGCTTTTAAAGTATACCCATTTGGACAATCCTTATTGGTGTTGCATTCAACTCGCCATCTTCCATTCTTGAGGGGTCTTCCATAAACGCACACTCCTTTATCACTTACAGCTTTGGTAGGTTTTGGTTTTGGTGTTGTACTGGTTATTTGAGGTTTCTTCGTTCCCTTTTTACGTTTCTTGGTTCTTTTCGTGGCTGTGATTGTCTGTGGTGCTTTTGTCGGTACCGTTGTTGGAGATGGTGTTGTTGCTGGTGTTGTCGTCGTTGAGGTTGTCGTCGTTGGTGTTGTCGTCGTTGAGGTTGTCGTCCTTGGTGTTGTCGTCGTTGAGGTTGTCGTCGTTGGTGTTGTCGTCGTTGAGGTTGTCGTCCTTGGTGTTGTCGTCGTTGAGGTTGTCGTCGTTGGTGTTGGTGTTGTTGAGGTTGTCGTCGTTGGTGTTGGTGTTGTTGAGGTTGTCGTCGTTGGTGTTGTCGTCTTTGGTGTTGTCGTCCTTGGTGTTGTTGTCTGTGGTGCTTTTGTTGTCTTGGGCCTTCTGGTTGATTTTACTCTTCTTCGGGTTGACTTTTCATTTATCGTATTTGATGTTGGTGTTGTCGTCTTTTGTTCTGTTGTAGGTTTCTTTGAGGTTGTAGTGGGTTTTTGTGTTATTGTTGTTGTAGTAGGTTTTTGTGTTGTTGTTGTAGGTTTTGGTGTTGTAGTTGTTGTAGTGACACGCTCATTGCAAATCTTGCCTATGAAGCCATCGTCACATTCACATGTTGCTTCTCTGTCACCTTTATGAAACATAATCAAAAAGTCGTTTCACTTTAATATACGCTCTGGTAGTTTATTGCATCGAATACGGAACGAGCCATTATGAATCCACCTATTTCAATATATATATTAAAATTTTAAAATTAATGTAAAAAATTCATTTATGACATCGAAATATCTAAGATATGTCTTTCATAAATATTTTTCAAATAGGGTATAGAATTCAGTACATGTACGCTCGACAATTTCTTATTGACATGGAGTCCTATTTTAGATATTTAATTTAAACATTTGGCAACGTAAATGGAACTGAATAACATACAGGACACCTGAATATGATATCGTTTTGTTGTTAGTACAAAGTCCGACAATGATACACAATACATTAATATTGTACACTACAATACGCTTACCTGTTTTCAAAACACATTTGCCATTTTCACAACTAGGGCATTCTTTACTACAATCGGTTCCGATAAAACCTGAATCACACTCGCAGTCGTTTAAGCCTGGAGTGAGACAAGTACAGATGACAGTGAGGTAATCCGGTTGTAAAATAATGCGTGTTTAAGTATAATGAAATAATGAACTAAATATATATGAAAATACAGGGTGGGCCAAAAAACGGCACTTCTTTTCAAGACACTAAAACACTAAAAGTGTACATTCTTAATCCATGGCTAGATAGAATCCTCTGGTTTCATTTGGTATGCAAATTATGATTTTGTTGCAAAAATTAAAAAGGTTATAGCATTTTGAAAAAAGAGGCGTTTTTTGGCCCACCCTGAACATACTCTAGATATTGTCTTAGGCAATTGCCAGTCTATAAATGTAATGTAATTCTGTTTGTTAGTAATGTGATGTGATGTGGTGAGGTGAGGTGATGAGGTGTGGTGTGGTGTGATGTGGCGTGGTGTGGTGTGATGTGATATGGTGTAGTTTGTCAGAAATTTAATGTGATGTAATGTAAAATAAAGTAATGTAATGATAGTTTAATAGAAAGGTTATATGCAATGTAACCGTTTGTTTAAAATACCATATAATTTACTGCTAATTGATTCATTTAAATGTAGTATAATGATAAACTGCGAGAAATGCCATGTCATGTTCTGTAATAGTATGTTAGTAGTAATGAAATGTCAAGCACAGTAAACAGTTTATTACCTTTGCATTTTCCATTATTGGAGCATTCATTGATATCTTTACATAATGACACTGTACAATCTTCCCCAGTGAAACCTTGACTGCATCCGCATACGTTTGGAGATATACATATACCTAAACCAAATCGCCACATTGGCATTAACAGTGTGACGGGACTTTTTCATCATGATATATATATTATCATTTTTACTTTTAAATTTACAATTTACAATACATCGTAATTCTGTGACGGGACACTAAATCCCCAGCACTTCGAGGTAGCGGTTAATGTTTGGCAACGCTTACAATGTAATGTGTAACGCCAAATAGTAAAGACTCTATAAGAACACATAAAATATTTCTAAATCAAAATTGTTTAATGCTAGAGGGGCTGCAGTTATACCTTGCCCATTACAATCGTTCACACTTGAGCAATCTGGCTGGGAGCAATCGGGGACAATATTGTAGCCAGCATTACACACACAAACTTCATCAGCTATGCATTCGCCATTTCCACTACATTCTGAAGTCCCTGGACACCTAGGTTCATCTGAATACAAATTTGCTAATCATTCGTTCTCTTTTTATGTGGCAAATGAGATAATTATATGACGTTAATATCAAACATGTTATGCATATGCACTGGCACGTAAAGAACCATAGCAATATGTTTTTAAGATACTTTTGAGCCTGTAATAAAATTCTGTTCCTTCACAATTGTTATTAGGGACTGAATTATCCCTACCTATCTAAACTTCCACACAGATTATGGTAAATGAATGCCTCGAAGAGAAACTATTCTTAGGTAAATATAATTATGCTCGTTGATGTACATGTTCTCTCAAAACATGTAGCTTAAACACCCTATTATCGGTGCACTCAATTAAAAAATTATCACAGGCAATTTAACTTTATTTTTCTGTATAACAGAATGGCTGATTGATGTACTGACTTTGATATACTAGTAGTCTGCTATATTTTCACGATATATGTTTATGCTAATATGCTACGCGAGTACTTACCTATAGTAAATTTCCAGAATGTCTGATCTAGGGAACTTGACTGAAGTCTGCACCCAGCTTTGCCGGACAATCCCTCAAACATACCTATAACATAGATCACAATATCATGATGATAATTAACATTGTCATAAAATAATCCCTTTTGGTATTTCGAATGTACTTATTTTGAAGTTTGTTAGCGTAACATTGTACTCGCAATAATATTTCGATAACCCTTCTGTAGGTGCGTTCTGTAATGCAATTAAATAAAGGTACACAACATACCACCTGAGGTCAGTATATTTCGTTCTCTACTACTTACTATACTATAATGAGGGGTTTAAATTCACACATTATATGAATAATGCATACTTTTTCTGTAAAACGGAGAGAAAATTAAAAAACCAACATAAAACATTCCAGCTTAGTGTAATATTATAAAACGACAGTACCTTCATCAAACCGAATTTCATAGGATTCATCTTCTAGAAAATCATAAGTTGAATAGAACGTCGCGTAGTTATCGCCATCTATACTGTAGGTATTCGTGAAGTCAACTTGTACGCCACTAGCCGAGTGTATAAAACGAATGAGTTTGTCACCTCTGTATGCTGGTTGAGCCTGTGATAAACAAGGTATGATATGAGAACTTGTACAGGAACGTTAATCATGATGGTCATCTGGGAACAGTAACCTTGTATATGCTTGCAGGGGCAGTTTAATCCCTGGGGATATACAATTACACGTAGAAGTAGGCCACCTACAAGTTCTCTTAAATTCGTAAAGATTGAATAAGGTAACAGCAAACAATGGTCCATCGCAAGAATGAACCGTGTCTAACACCCTCACCTCTAGCTTTCATTATTGGGCATATTTCTACAGGGTGTCAAATAAATATGTTCTCCCCTTAATTTCAAAGGGATTTTGTATAAAATTGCATCTAGTTGAGCTAGTGATCTGAAACTTCTTGTAGAGTTGCTCCATGAACCCTAGTGTCAATGTGCTAAAGAGAAAGTTATGCAACATTAAGTGGATGTTAAAACTAGTGGGGGAGAACATATTTATTTGACACCCTGTATATTATATTACGTACACAAAGCAAATTAGAAGCTTTGATACGAGCTTACCTTAGTCAATTGAGACAAAAAGTAATCATTATGGCTTTTTAAAGGTTAATATTTTGGTATGAAATTTCAATTTTACACCTGTAACACTGAAATAAAAATATTTAAACTTATTATACAAATATTCTTTAAAGATTTACCCTTCGAGTCAGTTGCACTTTCCATGTGTTCACACCAAGTCTTAATCGTTCGTCGTTCGGTATTCTAGTGTTTGGAAGCAATTCAGGTGGTTCTACAAGCAGAGAAGTATATTAAATTAAAATACAAGCAAGAGCTTTACTATGTATAATGTAAGTTTAAATATAATTTGTCTCTACAAACCTCAGTCTCAGTTTAATATTTACCTGTCACTAGATTTTTAGTACTGTACATATACAGAAACGTTGACAAGTAGCATATTAGTGACTCAAAGTCTTAAAATTCGGTAAGTTTATATTATATAGAATCAAATTTTACACTAGAGTCAAAGTGCAGTATGATTAGGAATAATTTGAAGAATTATAAGGTATTTAATCCTCGTGATTAATTTGCCAAATAAAGAAAACAAGTTTTGACATTTAATTTTCCGAACCTGACAAAAATAGGCAATGGGCAAAGTAATTGATCTGGCAATATTACCACTTATACATGTGTATGTACAATATGCAATTTCTTTATTGTATATCGTAGAGTAGACGACGTCAAGATTGAACGATACTATTTTCGGAAATATGTTTGTGTCAATATTTATGAATGAGTCAAATAAGTTACTTACCTCCGATGTTTAGAAGATAGCAGCGATATGGAGACTGCAACCTTAAAATTGAAAATATAGTTACGTCATTACAAATGGTCACAATACCACGATTAATGACAGTGCTCATGGGCCGTTACGAAAAACGGCATTTATTGACAACACATGAGATGCAAAGACTATTTTTCAATTGTTCCTGAAATGGAATAAATGAATCATTGGTGGTTTCTGAAAAAGAAAGGTTTACAGCACTAATTAAAACTATCTAGCCGTCGGAGAAACATTCAAAGCAAGAATTTCACACAGATATTGATCATACCTCAAATATTAGTAACAGATTGACATCTTATGAAGTCAGAAATGTAAGCTGTGCTTATGCATACACCATCAGTATTTAAAAGGTGTAACGAAAGGATACGCAACGATCTTTGAAGGGCATTATTCTAATTTTCCTGTTCTTCAACAGAGGTTGTAATATATTCAGTGTGTAGTAAAGTCCCGGATTGGAATGATGACCTCTTACGATGTCCAATTTACGTGGGTAATTCGACCAACCATATATGTACTTTTTAGCTTTATTAGGTTGAAGTGCTGGGGTATTTCAAATAACTAATTAATATGCTTTTCAACAAACATTTGAGATTTTACAAAACTAATTCCCTTTGCCCCCCTCCCCCCTCCTTCCCCATCTGCTTACTGCTTACAAATTTTGATTGCCTTCTCACCTTTGTTCATCTATAGCTTGAACGCAGAACCACTTATATCCCTCATCTAAGCGAGTGGGGCTCCATTCATATGTGGCTGTCTTTATCATTGAGTCCAACGGTGAAACGCTCACTTGGTCTGGCTTTTTCATCATTCCACCTATTACTGGCCTCAATGTTGATATGGCTACTACCCTATATGATTGCACTGAACAATTAGTCATTAAACTTAACAAAACCGAAGCAAGACGTTTTGATGTATATTTTTGTGGTATTACAGGCACAAAAGCTGCTAGCCTTTGATCGTTCCACTAAAATATATTCATCCGTTATAATCGAGTGTCATAAATATAATTCTCGTATGTTACTTACTCTCTGTTTGTATTATCAGTTTTTGCAGCTACCGTAAGTGAGAATTTTCGACCTATTGGGAGTTGAAAGCACGTGTCCTCGGGAGGAGTTGGGTTTACCCAGTAAGGCGCCATATTACAAGGTATAGGACTAGCACTAGTTAGTTTATATGGCATGGATAGGAGCAGATATGCAAGGGGAACCTGGCTTAACGGCCGTTCAAAGTTAGTATCCGAAGGGGCAAAATCTTCTACAACAATTTGCACACCATACCACTGGCGTTTTCCGATTGCTTCAAATGTAATTGTGCAAGTTGCCTGGAATAATGAAACACAGTCTTCAAAATGGGTGGATCCGTCACCTATGTTCGACCGAACCCCATTTAGGTATGTAATAATAATATAATATGAGATAGTCTAGTCTCCATTCGGTATGTACGATACTTTAATGATATACTTAGATATTTTTGAAAGCCTCAAATGTCCATAGTAAGGGTGTTCCGTGGATAAACATACATAATAGGAACGCAGCTATTGTTAGACTCGCGGAAAAATTGCAAAGAAATCTAATTTCTGGCATAAGGACTGATTGCGAAGGACTTTTATTCACACCTTTGTCATTAAAAGAAGATCCCATAACAATAATTTTATCACGTTCATATAATGTACAATGATGCGTCTATACACTGAATCAACTAATGCAAGTATTACATATAAATAATTCTATAAAACTAATGTACCGGATCCATGACTGCATCTTTCCCATTCTCGATATCTCTGAACCCATCACATATTCCACCGCAATAATCTTGTTTGCTAGCTGATGCCAGTCTGCATCGCACAACGTCACCATCCGCATCGGCAACTGCAGTAGAGTTTACATATTACAGTTTACAGTTTGCATAGTATTTTAAGGTAGCTATTTTAATATATAATTTTAATATTCAGTTTATAGGTTACTGACACCATTACGGGTATTTTTCCAACTGAGTCGAATTTCAGACGATTTCTTTATTGGACGTTTTGATACAAATCAATGTATCTTTATCAGTTGAAATTCACAATAATAAGTAAAACAACATACAGAGTGATAAAAATAGTAGTCAATGGTCATAGTACGGTCAAAGTGTCAAATGGCTCTAATGCCAGTATGCGAATTGAGACCAATTGTTTCATTTTGTATCTGTTGTTTTCTTTTATTTGTTCCAGTTTGGACTTCAAAGGTGGTTAGCCAACTGATGTCTGTTGTTTCAACTCATCTATTCTTGTTTAAACGTGTCCGGTCTTGTCCAAATGTGTCTGGTCTTGTCTTGTCATTTCACACTTGATTTATGTCATTACAAACAAACCTGGAATCCTGATGGTATGATCGCATGGTGATAGATATTTAACCGTAGGGAACATCATTGTGATTGGCGAGGTGTTGATCCGTCCTATATCCGTGCGAACCGAAGTGTTCAAAAACAATGACAGCTCGTATGATTGCCCCCCTCCCACCGCAAGAGATGTCCTCCACGCCAGCGCTCTATAACTCGCTCTATAGGTCTCTCCCTATAAAGATTTTTGAGTACAGTGTACGTTATATCCGTGGTTTTGATACGCAAAAGGAAATCAGAACGGAGATTTTACATACTTGAATGAGTGGTGCATTTTATGTTCTGCAGATAATACAAAAATTATTTTTTTCAAAATGTTCCCAAACATCCAAAGGGAAATTAATGGGGAACAAAGTGTCTTGAGCTCTCAGCCGTTAATCTACATATGGCATTGAATTTGACATTGGGTCACAGGTATTCGAGGAAAGACTATGCTGAAATGAACTGTATTTCTCATATTGATATCACACTCAAATGAACTGCTTTATATCGGTTTACATAACTTATTCGATGTTGTTTAATACCGAATGTGTGTTCTTTTCCGTGATTTACTAATATGATATATAATATGTTTTACCTCATATAATGTCACGCGACTTGTCTTTATTCCACTGGACCAGTTGTTAAGGGGATCATAGTCGGTGCAGTTGAATTTCACATCTGTCCAAGCATTGTTCACACGAGCACAGTTGTCACGACATACTTTAGGGTACAAATGAATTGTATGTGATTACGCTGTACGTGATAACGTTGTATTATACAGTAGAAAGACAATGCATAAAATGGGCTGGTACGGTTAATGCAAAACACATATTTTAAAAAGTGACAACCCCTAACATATATTCCATTTCAGGCCATGTATATTTTAGATATGTATGTTTACATCATCTCATGCAAAGCTAGCCTTAATTCAATATCGGTGCACCTTCAAGGGGATTTCAAGTTTGCCATAATGCTTTAATTAATATTAATATTCGAATTTATAAAATACAAAATTATATTAATTAATTAAACTAAAAGCGCAATTTACGTACAGAGATTCCCATTTTCACCAGTTGTCCGCATACTTTCAATGGCGGACTTATCACACCGCGTTCTTGTACTTCCCGAGCTGGTCCACGATATCCTCATATGAATAAGCATCTATGAAGTGAGATTTTCGTTTTAATTAACCTTTATGTATTTTAACCACAATGCGGATAACGTGTCTTGATAGCACTAATCGATAAAGGGTCAGATAAACCCCCCTCCCATGGCGTTTCCAAAGTTGAAGATTTGAATCCGTGCGTAGTAGTAAATGAATTTAACATTATCAAGGAATCTTTAGTCTATGTGTTTCTTACATCAATTTGTGCTCCAGGCGCCACTGGTGATTTGTCCTGTGGCTCATACCAGAAAATGGCACTCTGGAAATGTGACCCGGATGTGCTTCGCCATAACAATCCCAATACAACCAATAGAAGCCTCATACTACAAAAATACAGACATCATATAGCATTTATTGTACCAGTTATTCTTTTATTTTAACTTGATAATGTTAAACACGTTTCAAAATATAAGACAACGATTTCATTTTTGAAATAGACTAGAACACTCTTCCTGACTTGCAATATTTTCCTTACCATCGGTTTCAATTTGTAGTTTACGTTTAATATTGTATCCGTTTTCGTTTTAATCATACATGTAGGTCGAGATACAGACTTACATGTACATGGACTTACAGGAGTGTCGAACAATAATTGATAAAGGGAGTGCATTTTCCAGAAAATAGAGCTTGCACAGCTGCAAGTGTTTGCAAAGCCAAAGGCCGCGCTTCTCTGGGAATCGGGGCATTCTCGCCCAAGAAACGTTTGTCATCGAAGACGTATTTCAATCTTAGCGTTTTTAAGGACTATAAATAGTTGGATCTTGATAAAAAATCATATTTTTGAAGTTTCACAGATATCTTATCAAAAACATTTTTTAGGCAGTTTATGTCGCCTATGAATTAGAATCACCCATCATCGACTGAATGACTCCGATAGTGGAACATTTATACTCTCCCTTGATTTAGAAACTCAGTGATCGTTTGTTCATGCATGCAAAACCTGTTAAATCCTAAATGGCTTGAAATATGGTAATTTTTTTATTGCGAGGTTGCAAAACCAATAACCATGAAATGGTAAAAACTCTCATCATCTCATAACGTGTTAACGGGCACAGTTCTAGTAGCTTGATGAAACAGTTTTAAGTGTCCATAAGCGTCGTACTTAGCTTGCCATAACTAATTTTTAGATAAATGAACCATGGAAAAGGCTATCTGTTTCAGAAAATTATTCTGCTCCCGTCTAATCCCTCCACACTCTCTAGAAATTCTGTGTCTAACCAAATTTGGACAAGTTTCCTGAGAGATTAGTAGTTACCCTATCGAGAATATACCTCGATTGATTTATCAAACACTAGATGGCGCTGTGCTAGGCCAGATATTGGTAAAATGCTTTCTTACAGGAAACCAAATTACCACGTTTCCTCTAATATACCTACTCCGGACTATATTCTAAGCTATTGGCATCTATAATGTCCGGTTATCGTGTATTTTGTTAGACAACTATTCAGTTCCAATTCTATAGTACGTTTTAGATTTATAAGACCGAGTTTACATATATGATACATAAGTATTGTATGATACCATTTTTCTGATTAAAAGAATATATTTCCATTGGTATATCAGACCACATTTCTATTTTGCAGACGCCATAAAGGAAGATATTTAAAATTACAATGCAAACTTGCTATGTACTATTTGCTTTTCTATTATATTTTTAGACATATGCAAAATAATAAACATATACTTACTTATTATGGGATCAAACAATGTACATGTACTCCTATCTTTTATCTTGTTGATTATATGCATATTGAAAATAACATGCAATTTCCCCTTCAAAAAACAATGTTCACAATTTGAAAGGTTCGTATATAGGTACGTTTGATTTGGTTCAGCGAAGTCCGAAATAAATTTAGTAAAGGGACCTGCAGAACACACTCTTAACTGTTCCAAGAGTCAATTGGTATTTTGAACTTTTTAGATTTTTAACAAGGAAAAACATGAAATGGGCTATTAGATCATTATGGTTATTTTCATAGGCATTCAGCTCATAATGGGGAAATAATTGGTTTGCAGATAAAAGTTGACGCATTGAAATTAAATTGATAAAATTTATATGCCGAGAGAAGAATCAAATTAAACAAATATTGGATTTGTTTTAATCAATCTCATCCTGTGTACAGTAAAGCCTTTGTAAGTGGATCACCATTGGTTCTACTAAAACATGTTCCATTTTAGATTTATAGAGCCTTGAGATTTTCTGCCTCTAATTTCTTAATAAACTAGTATCGCCAATTGAATCCAAATAAGGCAATGTTTGATGTTTAGTCATGAAGTTGTATTGGTGTATTATTGAAATTATGATTCACCTATTATTCCAACCAAGTTGTATTGTTTTTTGTCCTACTAACAAATTTACAAATGCTCAATTTTCAGGTATCGGAAAAACCGCATAACACATTTAGAAATTCCCCAGTTAACCGGTTTAACTGTCATTTAGGACAGTGAAGAATCAACTAAGCATAAAGCAGAACGTAACTACATTGGATTTCATGTATGTTTAATAAAAAAACAGACTGCGCTGTTGATAAGCAGATCTGGTTTCTGTAACAAAATATGGGTCAAGAACAGACGAACAACGTACTTATAGATTAAAACTTGAGTATAACAAAACAAAGCAACTTGAAGAAACGTCATATAATACAAAAATACTTGTATTCATAGCGTAAACAGATATGTACAGACCATAGGTTTATTTAACCATACGTACTAATAGATTAAAACTTGAGTATAACAAAACAAAGCAAGTTAAAGAAACGTCATAGAATACAAAAATACTTATATTCATAGCGTAAACAGATATGTACAGACCATAGGTTTATTTAACCATACGTACTAATAGATTAAAACTTGAGTATAACAAAACAAAGCAAGTTAAAAAAAACGTCATAGATTACAAAAATACTTGTATTCATAGCGTAAACAGATATGTACAGACCATAAGTTTATTTAACCATACGTACTAATAGATTAAAACTTGAGTATAACAAAACAAAGCAAGTTAAAAAAACGTCATAGATTACAAAAATACTTGTATTCATAGCGTAAACAGATATGTTTTTATATATTCATTTTTACACAGTTATGCTTCTCTTGTTGCAGAACCTGTCTCTCTTGGGGTATATGGGGTTTATTTTTCTTGACTGGTATGCACTTAGAGTTTGCTTTTTCTTGCTAAGTTCCATTACAACTTTTGGTCCTTTCCCTTTGGCACAAGTGCTTATATATTGTGATCACAAAACAATTATACCAATGTTCCTTTTTTAATTTCATACTGTGTTCTACTGCTGGGACATAACTAAATGCTTCAAGTGCCAATCCAACCTTAATTATGATCAAATTACTACATGCAAAGAACATTCAAAGCTGCCTTGCTGCTACTCTTTACAAAACGTTTATTTAACCTGGAACGTTTGTGATATTAAATATGTGCAATATTATCAACCAAAGTCATAATTACTGTAATCTCATTTATTGCATCTTAAAATCACATGTTTATATTGTATGTTAACTCTAGTCATATTCTCTGTGAATCGTTCACACTCTGCAAACTTACTTTACATCCTCTGTGATATTATTCGACATACCGATGCTATATTTTTCTATTGATTATCTTTGTATATTTATATGGTGTCTCGTAAGCCGATGTCGGCTGTTGGGTTTTTTAACACATGTATTTTACTTGTAATATTTTAGTAAACCTGTGACACAGAAATAAACTATTATTAAACTAAAAAACTAACTAAACTAATTGTAACGTCATATACTACACAGAAATCAGAAGTTTGCATTCAAAACATTATTGGTATTGATTACATATTATTCAATTGCTGCAGCCAAAGCAAAAAATCATTATTATTGCATTATTGTCCACCCTATCGGTCAAGTTTCAATAGTTATAATGTTCATTATTGACATAAATTATTTCATACAATTTCAAAGTTTCCGCTATTTACCATTAAGTGTGTAGTTTTAATTAAGCTTGTCATTTGGGAGAAAATTTGTTTGCTTAAACTGGCTTCCTAATGCTTATCATCTAGTACTACTCTAATTGTTAACAATCAATGTCATATAATGTGTTTTTATAAACTCACCAATATCCAATGTTGTTATAAATAAACTATCGTTGTGAATATGAGCTGATATCCTAGAATCACTCATTGAAGAGGATAATGTGAAGGGGAACCTACGAAATGTTCTTGCAGCAGTTTAAAGGTATACATTTTTATGTTTTTCCACATGGTGTGCTAATCTTTATTTGAAAAGTGTTGAATATTCGAATAGATGGCGGAAAAGCGGTCAGATCTATTGATTTTGGTGGTTCTTTGTTCAAGAGACATTTCGAGTTCCAAGGCGGACATATGGAGCTATAACGTGGTAAATATGGTTTGGTAACTGAAAGTTTTTTCATAATTGATCCGAAGATTTGCATGTTTTTCAATTGAATTGTATGCGGCCATTTAATAGTGGAGTTATCCCAAACAGAAGTAAGGTTAAGCAATAGGTTCAAAGAGACAACTTGATCAACATGCAGAATCATGGCCCCTGAAAATACTGTAAGATCTAGAACTCCACTCGTTATATTTACTTGTCCGATTAAGTACAGTTATAGGAAAATAGTTGTCCTTGACTCCTTAGACTATTCCAAATAATAGAGAGGGGATAGTAATCCACGGGGCCCGTATAATTGCATGTTCACACGTAGCGTAACCTTCCTATTGTTTTGTAAAAGATTCTTGACAGTGGAATATTTGGAAACGCACATTTCAGCTGTTTGAACACAATGTATGAAATGAACAAATACTCTGGATTGCATAGAAATAAGTCATATCGAAGTGAGAGGATTTATTCATTTCTTAAAAAGATGGCCATCATGCCCTAGATCACTGGTACATGCGTATCAACTATATGTTATGGTATCGCATCAGTCACGGGTTCTGTACAAATACATTGTTGTCTGTCAAACTCCAATTGTACACCATCAACCCTGTAACAAAGTATGGTATGTGTTACATAGCTGTTTACACAATAGACTAGATGCCAGCAGAAACAATCTTGATTTTCTTCATTAAAAATTCAGTCAGAGGTAGACCATATTTGAATATAGAATATTACAACATTTAACATGTACAGATTCAATAAATGTCCATGTATTTTCTCGAGTTCAAGACTGGGTGTCTAAATGTATCTTTTCTGCCATAAAGAAATGTGTAGAGATAAATCAACTCAAAGCTTTTACCGAACAAGCACTGGACCTTTCTACAAAATAAAAAAAAATTAAGGAAAATACATACTCTGGACAGCATTGTATCGTCATGAATGTCGCTCCAGGTCCATCTGTCCTCATATACATTGTCAAGTCCGCAGAGAAGTACATCAAAGTTTGTCCTGCGATGCAACATGTATCTAAAAATCGGAAGGGTGTTCAACTGATAAAAGCAACGGATAAATCTCTTATTTGTGACACGTGTGCTTGTAAAGTCTTACAAAAATTCGTTCCTCAGCACATTCGATGATTATTAAGTTGGCAACGTGCACATGAACTAAAAACGGGAAAACATTTGTCTTTTTTCTTCGACTCTATTCGTGCACACTATCTCGGCTATTTCAACTTGCTTGTCCAATTTTGGATCATTGCTACGACTTGACAGACACTGTTTTGAAAAGCAATTTAATTCTTACCCGGTGGGAGATCATTTTCGTCGGGACAGGGAGGGTCTGTAGTTTCATCTGAAACAAGAAATCGTATTAAAATGCGCTATTATGGCGTTAAAAATTTGAGCAGAATGGAGATTGAAACGGGCAAAAGATTACTTTTGGTAAATAATTGTGCTTTATGGACTTTTGAATGGTTGCAGTGTTGTAGTTTTAGATTGTGATAATGGATTATGAAGTGTAGGGGAGGGCAATTTGAATACTTGGTATGCAAGGTGTTTCATTTTGTATAACCGGTTTTACTTACTCGAGTCTCTAGCTTACAGCTAGACGAAACTTCATTGATTTCGTATGTAATGTGCTGCACGCACCTACACGCACCTAGAACTCATTTTTAATAAATTTTATAAATATTTTTAAGAATATTAATCATATTTAGGATGAAGCGTTGCTTGTCTGGATTTAGATATTTCAAAATTTCATTTCGGAGTTTCAACACATGGTGAAATTTTCTCGCTGTAGCTAAAAATGGCTTCCGGTTCTGGACGTGAATAACATTTGAAATTATTCTCGCTTAAAGAAATCAAATATAACAATAGATTCAGACGGGGATGTGAGCTGGTGTTCTTCAAATCTATACATAAAGGTATATTTCATATTATTATGCCATATTTACTGTGCGTGTGACACAATGATTTACAATATTTATAATACTAAGGCAGCTCAATCTTCCTCCTCAAAGCCGGAATATAGAGAAGGCTTTGGACCGAAGTAAGGTTTTACATATTCACTATCGCTCTAACGGCACCTGTGCTTGAATATTTATTTGAAATCAAACCATTGGAGATTGGGCATGGCAGGGTCATTATGGCTTACGGGGTGTAACTATACCAAGTGGTGTGTACTCCAACTCCCTTTTATGCATACAGCGTCGCACGCTTCTTACATGATTTCACATACCTCCACAGAATATCCCCATACATTCTGGCACGTTAAACACATTGTCACATGACTTGACCTTATCATTCCAGACACTCGGTGGCATACAAGGTGTCAACGTGTAACCAGTTCTAAATAACAACGTCAAAGAAAGAATGAAAATACCAACGACTTAAAGTGATTGTGGCAGATTCATTTGCAATACTATAAAACACTTTAAATTTGCTGCACCATTATTTCGCTAGAATGCCTCTCTCTGGTTATTAGCTGTATTAGTTGTTATTATTCTGCATTATATTGTGTTTCAATTGACAATAGGAGGAGGAAATACACCAGAAATCACAAATAAACCATCTTTATGTTAAGAGGTTTATATGAAGATAGGTTCATCAAGAAATGCTGGCTTATTCCCCTCTTGTTAACACACAGGCTGGTATCGAAAAATTTGTCCGCTGTGACGGAGCGTGCTATTTTGCATAGAATCACTAGGAAATCCACACAATTTATTTTTTTACTCATATGTTTTGCTATATCAAAGAAAATTACTGACTCCATGCAATGAATATATCATTTGCGAGTAACTTTAAATTCTGTTTGAAGTCCAACAACGTTATGAGTAAAAGCTATTGAAAACGGCGTTGGAGTATCATACTCCAAAATGTACCATTTCTTTTATTTCTTTTTAATGGTACAATATAGCGACACGATAATATTTACATATGTTTTCAGCATAACTCTGAAGGTATTAATGAGATCTTTATGTATTGGGTATTTTGAATTTTTTTGATAAAAAATAATAATTAATTTTTTTGTCCGCTGTGACGGAGCAGTTTCAAATCTGAAATGCGTTAAGAATTTAGATTCATAATATATTTCTTTACAACTAAACTTTAGAGGAGCGAGCGTGTCAAATCTCTTTCGTAAAGTATTTTGAAAAATGAAACGTAATAAAAGTACACAATTCAAATTCTGAGATGTATATACGACCACTCTTTAAGCTTCTTTTCTCAGTTTGTACTGCAATCCAACTTATGCATGGTAACTCATGAAAATGATAGTCAACTTCCATTTCAGTAAAGGGTATTTGCCTTTCGTAGTGCCCTCTGTGGATCCATCGGCCTGACATGGTCATTTTTACGGTAACCTATTAATTATTTGAAGTAAAATGATTTGCTGAAGATGAAGCTAAATATAATGGCATGGACTGTGGATTGTTCTACCCGCTTTAGTCGTTCCAAAAGGTAAGTTTAATGTATCTTGAAATACTTGATTTTAAGATCGTTCTTTATTTGACTGAGAGTTATGGCTACTACAGTAAAATATGTGTACAGTGAACACATATGGAGCCCAAAAATGTGTTCCCAGTTGGTATAGATGTTCACTCCATAGAGGCAATTTCATACAGAAGTCGGAGGAATATTTGATAAGAAGAGGTGTTCACTAGAGAAAGATATTCATTGATACAGGTTTTACAGTGCAGCACGTTTACAAAGACTTTTTTTATAATTTTAGTCTATGCAAAACGATGCATTTCATGAATTTCAAATAATTGCAAATTAAATCTGTATTGGGATCATCTTATACAGTAATATAATATTATATGGTAAAAGGTTATACATCTGTCGGCATGCATGATGTCTGCGCGCTATTTCGAATACGTTAATTCATATTTGCACTACACGTGACATTTCAAGACGTCTAGGCGAAAACGTATTAGAAATATTATGTTGATTTTACATCATGTTGATTCATGTTGATTTCAGTACAAACCTCCGAAAAATACTAAGAGTGGTCGTTTTTATATCTCAGATTTACATTACCCCATATCTCCAAGAGGCTGCTTGTCATTATTTAGGAAAGTGATTTGTGATGTTCTCTCTTCTAAGGGTACTTTTAAAAGATATAATTTGAATCTTAAATTCTTAACGTAGTTCACAGTTAAAACTGCTCCGTCACAGCTGACAAAAAATGTAAACATTATTTTTTATAAAAAATATTAAAAATACCCAATACATCAAGATATTATTAATACCTTCAGAGTTATGCTGAAAACATATGTAAATATTATCGTGTCACTATATTGTACCATTAAAAAGAAATAAAAACAAATGGTACATTTTGGAGTATGATACCCTGGCGCCGTTTTCAATAGCTTTTACTCTTAGCGTTGTTGGACTTCAAACAAAGGTTAAAATTACCCGCAAATGATATACCCATTGCATGGAGTAAGAAATTTTCTTTGGTATAGCGAAACATATGAGTAAAAAAATAAATTGTGTGGGTTTCTTAGTGTTTCTATGCAAAAAAGCACGCTCCGTCACAGCGGACAAATTTTTCGATACCAGCCTGTGTAACAGTATATACCTGTTCAGAAAGCAACTTGCGAACGAGCAACACGTCCTCATGGCGTCATTTGGCACCCCGGGTTCATCCGGCAGGGTGTGATAAAAAGATGATAAGTCATTACAGGGCGCCGGGAGATCCTCATCTAAATTATATACACGTGTACACAACTCTAAGCGATCTTAGTTTTGCTTAATTAAATTAATTAAAATTAATTAAAATTTGGGATGGAAGGCTTGATAGCTTTAAGGTTTTTAAAATAATTATAATTAACATAGAGTAGTGATAATAGTATAGGAACCGGTGAGTCAATACTTGTTCCACACAGTTGAAAAGATTTATGTATATATTATAAACAAACTACCGCAAAGTATATACAGTACGTATATGTATATTTCAAACATTCGTCCATTTCTAGACCTCTAGATTTCATTTACAATTGTCCATATGACAGTTCAATAATATACATGTACAGAAGAAAATACTAAATAAAATATTTATTCTATAAAATAGGCTTAATTTTAAAATAGGCTTCATTTTTATGATTTTTAAATGTGAATACTTTTTTAGAGTAAATTAAATAGAAGGTGAATGCTTCTTTTATTCAACTTACATACTCTTTCACAGCAACACGAATTGATGTCAAACACCTCGTTTGGAGGGCATTCGTTGAATTTGTTAGGACTTATCGAATCGATTCGGTAGCGTGTCTCGGACAACCTTGTATAAATGGGCTGTCTTCCCCCAACACAGCACTGCTCTGCAATAAATTTAAAGCGGAATGTGTAGGCAAAACTCTTATACTGTAAGGACAATATTGTGTCGGTATTTCAATAATCACAGATGGAAAAATATTTGAGGATTATTAACATCTGTGATATAAAAATGTCAGATGCGTGCACCTATCATAATAATTAGCTATTGGTAAACTATACATGCTTTTTATTCGATAAGTGATATAATTGATATTTCAAACAATGTCTGACCCCTTTTAATAATCCAAGATATGATCGCTTGATTAATGAGGCTTTTCGTTGCAGATGGCAGCAATTTCTTTTCATAAAATAAGTTTTTTGAAAGTAACCAAAAAGTAAATCCTATTTCTGTCCTGAACGAATACACCCTTGGTATACGCAGCTAACGAAAATTGACCGGTACGGGTCAAAAGCTGGACCGGTATGGGTTAACGGTTTTATTTGAATTTAAAATAGCCATAACTTGCTCAATATTGACTTCCTCGTGTCTAATTTGAAATATATGATGCCTCCCGATGCTTTTAAGTACCCCAATTTTTTACAGATTTTTAAACGGACCAAAACTCTCTAAATGCGCATTTATGCTCTTTTCTCTCGAGAACGACTGTCTCATTTTCACGATAACTTTTATTTAGTACTTCTAACATATAAGATCTATTTTTCCCCATCAAGGTATGATGTAAGTGACATGCTATTTACATCTTGTGAGTTTCAATGACGCGCGTTTGATTTTATAAAAAATGCCAAACTTTGTGCCAAAGAATTTCATCAGCTATTGCCCCGAACCGGTCCGTCTTCTCGCTGCAAGCTGTCGTCATCACTAAATTCTATTCCTGGAAGATACCCTTGATTTTCAGGTAATATATCTATAAATACAGCACTAAAAATAACAGTACACATGAAGTACATGTATGATTGTGTCCAGAAATGTTTGAAACCCTTACAGAAAATTCTGTCTGCATTTTGTCACCATTGCTCTTTCTTCCTGCATTCTAGTGCTGTTTGAATGAATATATTAATTAATGTATTTCTAACTAAAATTTATCACATTTTTTATAAACCACAAACATTTAGATCATAAAAAAATTATTCAATACTTGAGTGAGCACGATATACAAGGGTTACTAAGCTGATACAGTAAATGACCACTGATATTGTGTTAGTCCATGCACACAGCGTATTCTGCTAATACACGTTTGCTAAACACCCCCACTTTCATAGTGAAGTGACTAATTGGTTTATGTTTACGTTTTAATGTGTTTTGGGTTCCTTGTTACAGCAAGGGGGGCCAGTAAAGTAGACTAACATGTTCGCATGGCAAATTTTGATCGAATATGTGAGACACTTTAAGTTAAGTTATAAAGGATAATCTCTGTTAGATTCCCTCTCGGCTGTTACTTTTATAAAAATGTATATAACCACCATGTATATTAATATATCAAGTCGACCAATTTTACCGAACTTTATTGAGTTTGATAATTGCACCATTAAAATGAGGCCTGTGGCTATACGGATATTTGCACTGTGATAGAAATCTATAATGTTGAGGAGGATGACGACGCCATCATTTACACGAGCATTTACATAATGTTACCTGGATATGCGAATGATAACTAAATGTACCATCTGCTAACTCTCTGGTATATATTCATCAAATTAATATTCAATTTTATTTACCGATTGACCGCATGGTGAAATGGAAAGAACAAGAAAAAGGATGTGTTACATTAAAAGAAAACTTGCCATTATCATAGCGATAACCATAATTGTGAACATTTTAGCATCATTACACTTTAAACAACCATTATGCTATGAACAACAGGACCAAAAAAGGATCATCCAGTCAAAGAAGCAGTTTCTTTACTTGGTTCAAACAAAAGAGTGTTTGCCAGATAATTTACTCCAGACGCCTGTGTTAGGAGATGCAAATACTGCTGACGTTCTTGTACTCAGCTTTAAGAGAGAGTGTAAATATAACAAAAATATGAAACACGTGATATACATATATAGCCAGGATAAAGGTACTACATGGGAATCTGGACGTAATTATCTATACACATATGCAAAGGAACATTTAGAAACATACACCTATTACGTCTTTATGGATGATGATCTGGATTTCTTTGTGACCAAATCAAAGTTCCTTCAAGAGTCACTTCTTCAACAAGTCCAGCAATCAGATGTGTCAATCCTACGCCAATTCGAGGATTTTCTGCTACGTTCGAAACCAGCATTGAGTGCACCATTTAGGATTAATTATTCCCCGGATGATGATCCATATGACATCATAGAATGTTGTCTAGGAAACTACAATGTTACAGCCCAATGGAATTTGTCAGAGAAAGTTCCTATGATAAGATTTGATGAATGTTTTATCGCGATTCACAAGGATGCAGTAGATCACATTATGCCAATAATTACAAAATATGAACACATTGATCTATGGGGCTCATGCAAATATTTCCACATGAAAGCTTATTTTATGTTTCGCAAACAAATGTCTAGGTTCACACCAATGACTGTGTATAACAAAAGACACACTCCGTACCTCCAAAACATCGTCACGTACCAAGATGTGATAAGCGATATTTTACTTAAAACTCCAAACGAATTCAGAGAGAAGCCGATTTTCTTAAATGCTAAAAGAGGCCTTGCGGAAAAGGATGTGCAAACGTATATCATGGTTGATCCCAGAAAACCGCCTTTTCAACTTGCACCAATTGAAGACCCAATCACTCCATGGAAATACATAGATATCTTGGAAAATGAATCAAGGTGATGAAATCAATTAAGCCTAGAAACTCAACTGCAAAAATACAAAAAAGTACTAAGATAGTACTCATGGCATTTTATATAAAATGCCATGAGTCCTCATTTCAGCTAATAGACATACTACATGAGCACTTATGACATGAGCAGCCTACTGATTTATTGCATGTTTTAGTACTAAATGAGTACTCACATAATGAGTGATAAAATAGCGCTAATTTCATACTCAATGAGCACTCACATTATGAGCTCTAATTAAGTGCTTGTTTTAGTACTTAATGAGTACATACATGTATATCATGAGTTATGAATTCGAAATAGCGCTAATTCCATTTATATTTCATTACTCAATGAATGCTCATGCTATGAGCACTAATTTATTGAACATGTATCATGAGTGATGAAATAGTACTCAAAAATTAAAATGTTGGTAAACTTTTATAATTGATAAAGTAAAATACAGAATACGCAGATCACTGCACTCTGTCAACTAACTATTTCTTTGGCACCATTAAAGATGCTTCATATTCTCAATTTGATGACCTCATTGAATCTTCAAACATTGATATATTTTTTCTGTGTAATTATTAACATTGACATACTTGTTGATATTTTTAATGACAAGCTTTTTTACATTTTTTGGACCGAATTCCAATACTATCGTTAATGTAGAAAGCTCAGATAAATCCTGGTTTAATCATAATATTAAGTCTATGATTAACAAAGAAACAAACTTCATTCCAAAATCTCACAATTTGACATACTTAACCAAATATAATGAACAATGTACACTCGTGAATCAAGCAATAAATGAGGCTAAAGATGCCTTGACATCAACGTTTAAATATGGAAGTATGTCATACTGGGCCATAATATCCAAACTTCTCGGCAAATCAAAAAACTCAAAAATACCGTTACTTTTTGACCAACATGGGAAACATATTGTTAAAGGCCATGACAAGGCTAATTTATTTTTGTCTCGTTTTATCAAAAAATTCCATCGTTCCATTGTAACTCTCAATATAAACAAAGCCACGGGTCCTGATCAAAGCAGTAACAGAATGTTAAAAATGGCTGCGCCAGCTCTTTCTGCAACTTTATCAAAGGACGGGTGTCATTAAGGGCCCTTTTTAGCCCCCAAGGATATCTGATAATAATGCATATCATATTGAAGAAAAATCATTTGTGCTTTATAAAAATACAATTTCAGCGAATTTTGACCTTTGATGTTCACACAACAGTCATTTAAAGATCATATACCATTTTGGGTGTTTTTACAAAAAATTCTTTATTTATTGTTGTCTAAGTAAATAGTATATAAATATTAACCAATTTAAATATATTAAAATGTAATATATGAAATACTGAAGAAAAGATACGATTAAAATTATTTTCATGGAAAAGCACATAGGGCAATATTGACAAAATGCAAATGCTATTTTGGTAGGTTCTGGGCAAGCAATGGGTACATTTCAACTGTGACTGTAATGGATTACTATTGACTTTTATCAAAATCACAGGGCAACATTTAAGCAACTAAATTTAAGGAAAATCAAAGATTTCCTCTCATTTCTAAAACGAGGAACAAAAGCATGAATTCAAGGAAAATAAATGATGGCCTGTGCCAAAATATATAACATATGAGAAAGTTGTGGCACAGGATATGTATAGGATATCATATGATTTTAAATGATTTTATCTTTATCTCCGATTTGATATCAATATCTTGCCAAGTTAGCATAGCGAATTAGCGCAGATATTGATATCAATGAGTTGGATTAACACAATATCACGAAAATTCATAGGATGTTCTATTTTTCCCATAGTTCACCTCTAAAACTAAACAAAGCATATCAAAACAACATCCATTCATTCATTCATCGTGATGTCATGAAATCACAATGTAACAAAACACATCATATTGTTGGTAGTTTTCAAATCCCTGCCAAAAGGTGATATCTGTGAAATATTTTCCATATTCCATAGATATCACTTTTTCCGCGCATTTGCAAAATACCATAAATATGTTTTCATGTTACCTAACAGAGCGGAACAGAGTTCAACTATGGGATAAAGAATAAAAAATAGGTACATAATTGAATTACCACTCCAAAAATATTAAATATGAGGGTTTAAAGAAAGAATATTAAATATGAGATTCAAAAAGACAAGTGGCCTCATGTCTCACATTTCCCAAACCCCAGATCCTCGATGTCATATATACTTGTATACTGTATATCTATGTTATTTTCTGGGAGGATTAATATGGAGTGTATAGCAATGGTCAATACGATATTTCCAGATGGATATTTTTTCCCTAGAAGCGGAACCCAAACTCAGTCATGACATAGAAGCTAACTTTTGCAATTAATAGAAACTTGTTTTTTATTATATTTTTGTGTTCTATATTTGAGATGAAATAATATGAGATTCATTTCTACAAGAGGATGGAACGAATGTGAACTTGTATATTGAACTATACTCCTTTTCTGAATAAACAGAACAACTTTTTATCCAAGCCAATTAAGAAAACCAAGGCCAATGAGTGTAATTTATGCCCAGTTAAACTAACACAATAACAACTTTTTGTCTGGACTCACTTATTATGTAAGAATGAATTGTATTACTGTTTACTGCATTAAATGTCAAGTATACTATCTGTGTTTAATTTCAAATGCCTATCTCACTTATCAAAGGTATACAAGAAATCTTATTTTGAAACAAATTCAGCACAACCAAAACCATGTCCACATAATATGACAAATCCAAGATGGCTGCCACAATTTTAGATCCATGTACATGTGAAGAAGTTAGAAATACACATGGTCCACAAGTTCCATCCCCAATAAAATGGGAAGTTTAAGGTTTTCACACATATCAACTCTATTCCTATATACTTTATATTTGTGGTAAGGCTTGTGATCTAGGTAAACTTGGCATGTTCATCTACCTCCTATCCTCTGAAGCTAAAAAAAGAAATAGTGACTTCAATTGAGAAAAATGAATCTTATGGGCTCCATATACATTGTGAGTGGCTGTACGGCTAAAGTTAGATACTCCTGATAATCTGAGATTGAAAATTATGTCAAGTTTAGTCCTCGGCCTCTCATAACGGATAACTTCGAGGTAATTGTGTTGTTACTGCAAAAACCTCTATTTCTTACAATCTACCATCTTTTGCATCTGTCAAAACCCTTCATTTCATGTTAATTTTCAGACTTTTGCTTGTGCCATCATTAAATATATATATTCAACTTGTTATTCAGAATATTTTAAGAACTATTCATGAATTTATTTATTTTCACACTTTTGAAAAAATGACTAAGTCAGAGAATGGCCTCTTAATAGCATGTCCCCTTTAATTAACAAAATCTTTACCCTTAATTTATTTCCACAAAAATAGAAACTTGGTTACATTTTGCCTATTCATAAAAGTGGGGATAAAACTGACGTCAAAAATTATCGTCCAATTACTCATCTTTGTGTTTTGTCAAAAATAGCTGAACGCATTTTCTCATATGACTAACAAAGATACAGCCATCTTTACCCCATGCAAGATATTGCCATCTTTCATCCTAGAAAGTCACACGTGCAAGATGAGATTTACTTGTGACATCACTGGTCTATAAACACCAACAACATGGCAACGGACACACCGTTGCTATGAGTATCCATGCTAATTCTACAAAACTAAGATGTGGGGTCATAACAATGGAGCTTTGTTGCCACGTGTATCTATGTATTTTCTCCAATATTGTTATGACGTCATAACAATTGAAAGATGAAGTTCAATTAATTTGAAGCTATCTTCACTCAGTTTTATGATAAAATGGTGAAAATGTGGTATAATACAGAGTCATATGAGAAAAACTTTCTTGTACTCGTACCTGTGCAATATCGTCCATTCTTGACTCGCTTTGCTAATGTTTCTTTATTTCGTTTTCGAGTGTAGTATTGCCATAAATTTATTTGTGCAGACAATAAAATAAAGTGCAAATGGTAAAATGTACTCGAACTTAAACTCAGCATGCATTGTTGATGATGTGACTTTGTAATTATGTATTGAATTGGTGCATGCAGCATAAATGTAATCCCGTGCTTAACCCGCATTGTCCACATTCATGTATCTAAATGAGGTTGCAAATAACCACATGTACGATTGTGTTTTGTTAAGGTAACAATTTTTATTTGGCTATGTATCTTTATGAGAGTTGCAATTATGAAGCTGCAACGGCATAAGCACACCACTTATTGGTACATACTTTAAAACCTCATCCATGTATAAAGTGCAATTTATGAAATGGGTTGACAATTTTTGTTGTGTAATCAATGGTTATATATGAATCCCTTATTGATATGTATGTATATGATATGATATATGTATTACATGTATGTAAATTGTATTGCATTAACATTTCAATCCTGTTCACAAACCTACCATGTACTTAATTAAAATGTTTTAACGATGTATTGTGTATAGTACAGATTGTACAATTGTAATTTAGCGAGTTGAAGACACAAGTTAAAGTGTCGTCATGCCATTTGGTGTCATATAAGACACGATTTTGCAGTTTGTTTTGTTTTGTTTTTTTGTTTCGTATTCATTGTTTCTTTTTAAACAAACCTGTATATATTTAAATATCTCATCCTCAGGCGGAAACCGAAAATCTTTCCAGTCAACATACACCATGCTCCCATCTGAACTTGATAACACTAACATAATATATATACATGCTCCCCCTAATTCAAATTCACATTCAGCTTCAAAGTATAAGGCACTTTGCCAATCTTATCTCGATAAATACGTACCAAAATGAATAATTTAAGCATCATCTCCTATAACGTAAGATGTATTCGAGATGATTCGAAAAGACAACGCATATTCCATCACCTTTCGGATATGACGCCAGCAATTGTCATGCTTCAAGAAACGCATTCTAACGAAAATGATTTAAACACGTGGAAAAACAATTGGGGTAATAAAATAATCTTCTCACATGGGCCCAACGATAGCAGAGGGGTAGCAATACTCTTAGATAAAACAATAAATTATACAATTCATGAAAAAATACAAGATAAAAACGGAAGATATATCATTTTAGACATTTCCTTTGATAAAGATCGAGTACCGTTAATTAATTTATATGCTCCAACTCAGAACTATGAAAATAAGCAAAAATCCTTAATAGATGAAATTGAGAACCACATTATAAACATGAATGCTGAAAATATCATTTTTGGAGGCGATTTTAACGCAATATTTAATCCACGCTTAGATAAAATGGGAGGGGAAAATGATAAAGTGACCACATATGTCAAGAAAATTGAAACCTTTATGAGTACCTTTGATTTGACCGACATTTTTAGAACGGCATATCCTGATTTAAAACGTTATACATGGAGACAAAAACGCCCCTTTTGACAATCAAGACTTGATTACTTTTTAATCTCTACCCATTTACTCAATCAATTTGATGATATCAAGACTCTACCTGGACTTTTATCAGATCACAGCATTTTAAGGTGACAATTTTCTGAAGTTAATAAAGAAAGGGGGAGGGGTTTATGGAAATTCAATAATAACTTATTAAACGACTTGGAATTTGCTACCAAAATTCGCGATTGTATAGCTGAATCAAAATTAAAGCATGGTTACTTAGAAAATAAAGGTCTGCTATGAGAAATGGTCAAATTAGACATAAGGTCCACAATAATTTCACACTCCATTTACAAATCCAAAATACGTAAGAAAACTGACAATGAATTAAAAATGAAATTATCCAATTTAGAAATCAAAATAAATCAGGATAGCGTAACGGAAGCAACGAAAAACGACTACTTTAATACAAAATTAGAAATTGAAAATTCAAACAAGAATGAAACATTAGCCGCTACTGTCCGATCCAAAACTAAATGGTATGAAAATGGTGAACAAAATAGCAAATTTTTCTTTAGAACATCGTAACTATATAAATAAAACAGTCAAAAACTACAAGCTGACAATGGTACAATTATTCACGACCCAAAGGAAATCTTAAAAAAAGAAAAACGGTTTTACAAAAATGTATACACAGAAAAATTGAACGATGGAGACCTCTTAAATAACATTGATAATTTTGTACGCGGTTTGAATATTCCAAAGCTAAATGAAAATGAAAAGTTATCTTGTGAAGGGTTACTAACAGTTGAGGAATGCGTTAAATCCCTTAAAAATATGCCAAATGATAAATCGCCCGGCACTGATGGCTTCACAACAAATTTTTACAAGTTCTTCTGGATTAATGTTAAAGATTTAGTCGTAGACAGTTTAAACTATGCTTTTGAATCTGGAGAGCTATCAATTTCCCAAAAGCAAGGCGTCATCACCTTAATTCCGAAAAAAGACAAAATTAGATTATTCCTTAAAAATTGGAGGCCAATTACTCTATTATACACCGACTATAAAATAGGTACTAAATCAATCACGAATAGGATATGTAAAACTTTAACATCTATAGTTAACGCCGACCAATCTGCTTATGTAACGGACCGATACATAGGGGAACATATTAGACTTATAGAAGATGTCTTAGAATTCACTGACCAAGGTTACATCCCTGGCTTACTTCTTCAAATTGATTTCGAAAAAGCATTTGATTCAGTAAACTGGAATTTTATTGAGAAAGCTCTTACATTATTCAATTTTGGCGGGACACTAATTAAATGGGTAAAAAACTTTTACAAAAATGCTCGAACATGTATAACAAATAATGGGTATCAATCAACTATGTTTTCACCATCCAGGGGAGTCCGTCAAGGATGCCCCATATCGGCATACCTTTTCATAATCGTAGCGGAAATATTAGCCATATCTATTAGACAAAATAACGAAATTGGAGGCATTCTCTTAAATAATACCGAAGTAAAAATTTCAATGTTTGCTGATGATACAACTTTTTTCATGAACTCCATAGCATCAACCGAAAGAGCCCTTCAGATTTTAAGAACCTTTTCAGAAATTTCTGGCCTTGAGCCCAACCTTAAAAAAACAGAAGGTAGATGGTTAGGACAATTTAAAACAAATCCTCCACAAATTGTACCCAAAAGTCTTGTATCGGAAATTAAAATTAACAATGAATCTTTCTACACACTCGGAGTGTGGTTTAGCCATAATATAGATGAACGGAACGATCGTAATTTTTCCCCTAAAATCAAAGCTATAGAAAACTTATTTAAAATACGGGAATGGAGGAATCTTAGCCTAATAGGGAAAAATGTGCTCATTAAAGCTCTAGTCATTTCAAAATTTACTTACTTAGCATCAATAATACTTGTACCAAAGCACATCATCAATAAAGTTCAAAACATCATTAACAATTTTCTGTGGAACAAAAAACCTCCACTTATCAGTAATTTAATAACTATAGGCAAAATAGAAAAAGGTGGGATCAAAAGTTTACATTTACAGTCGCAAATAAAAGCATTACAATGGGTAAAAAGGTTATTCCAAAGCAAATCTTGCAAATGGAAACAATATTTTTACAGTTTCTTTCTAAATCTACAGCCTGAGGCAATCTTTCAATCTAAATTTCCAGTAGAAACCTTGGCTAGATTGCCACCTTTTTACTTCAGTATTATGGAAACATGGAGATCTTTACATAATAAAGAGCCATATAATAAGGAACTCGCCTTAAATGAGTATATTTGGAACAATGATTTTATAAAAATTAATAATCGAACAGTGAGTTATGCTAATTGGATAAACAAGGGTATTCTTCAAATTAAAGACCTTGTTAACAACAACGAATTCCTGGGATTTAACGAATTTTCTCTTAAATACAACATTAATGCACCCTTCGTTACCTTTTATGGCTTAATCCACGCAATACCACATACATGGAAACAATTAATTAGAAAAAATCCAAATAATAAGAAACTTAAAAATGAAGAACTTCAAATTAAAGACTGCACAATCAATGCCAATGCTATTAAAACTAAAACTATCTATTGGTATCTCATAGAGGATTTATTCAAGGAACCAACTGGTAAGAAATTCCTAACTACAAAGTTTAATGTCTCAGAAGAGGAATGGAAACACATTTTCACTTTGCCTTTTAAGACTGTACGTGAACCAAGAATACAATGTTTTTAATACAAACTCATTTTAAATCTAACGCCAAACAATAACTTTTTAACTCAAAAGAAGATCAAAAATTCAAATTTGTGCGATATATGCAATAATGACAAAATCGATGATACCATACATTTTTATATCGAGTGCCCAAACTCTGCCAAGATTTGGGATGAATTCAAAATTTTCTTCAATGTTGATTTAACAAATAAAGATATTATTATAGGAAAATTAGATGAAGAAAACGAGGATAAAACTAAAGCCATAAATTTTTGTATCTTGTATACAAAAAGTCTAATACATAAATCTAGACTGATTAAAACTAAAATCACCTTTATCCAAATAAAGGAAATCATAAAATATAACATCAAAGATGAACAAAACATCGCAAATTTAAATAATATGCAAGAAACCTTCAATAAGACTTGGAGATGGGTTATTGAACTATTAAGCCAATAACCCTGTATTCTATTTATAAGGCATGGAGTATATATTATAAAACTGTGGTAACCTATATATTATGTTATTAAAGACGATTGTACAATTGTGATGTAAACATTTGTAAATTATAATTGTTTGGAAATTCTCTGTACACATGGAGATGAGCTGTTGAAAATAGTATATATTTGTAAAAGGTAAAATAATAATTATATCATATATCTAAGGTATGGAGTATATATTATAAAAACATAGTAACCCATATGTTCTTGAAGACTATGGTGCTATTGTGATGTAAACATTTGTAAATTATATTATTTGGAAATCCTCTGTACATGGAGATGAGCTGTTTCAAAATAGTATCTATTGTAAAATGTTAAATATTTATATGAACATGTATGTACAGGGTGGGCCAAAAAAAACAATACCCAACTTCAAATCAGGATAAAAATAGTTATGTTCAATATGATACATTGACTTATATATCATTTTAAAGGTAATACATTTTCAAACAATTTGGTATATAACACTATGATATAAAATCAATAGTAAAGGTGTATTATACTTATTTTGGAGGCTAGGTCGCTATTTAAGGTCTCTAGATTTTAGGGAGAAAACAGTCAATCTGTGGAATTATGTAAACTTTTATTCATAGAATATCATTTTGTTAGGTGAATACCTACTTGTATATTTGCATCATTGTGTGACTAAACTTATTGTTTATGAATTTCAGTGTTGTTTAATAACATTTTACAATTTATTTATTTAAACAATTGCTTAATATGCCCCCCCCCCCCTATGCTTCAACAAAACGCTTCAAGTAGCAGCGCCATCTTTCAACGGATTTCTGTTGCAATACATTCCAGCACTTTAGGATTCCGGGGTTCAGCTTATCACTACTTTTTATTAGATGCTTGTGATTGTACACCATTTCCTGGACCCATTACCATACATGGAGATGGCCCCATGTATGGTAATCCACCACATTAGCATCGGGGCTGCTGGGTGGCCAAGCATCTGGATCAGTCAAATTGACAACTTGTTCATGAAGGAATGCCAATGTCTCCTTTGATCTATGGGACAAGGCACTGTCTTGTTGAAAAATAAAACCCCCACCACATATACGTTTTATGTCTTTTAACATACCTCTTTTGAGTACTTATTGATAGTAAACAATACTGAAATTCATAAACAATAAGTTTAGTCACAAATGATGCAAATATACAAGCTTGTATTCACCTAACAAAATGATATTCTATGAATAAAAAGTTTACATAAATTCCACAGATTTACTGTTTTCTCCCTAAAATCTAGAGACCTTAAAAAGCGACCCAGCCTTCCAAATAAGTATAATACACCTTTACTATTGATTTTATGTCATAGTGTTATATACCAAATTGTTTGAAAATGTATTACCTTTAAAATGATATATAAGTCAATGTACCATATTGAACGTAACTATTTTTATCCTGATTTAAAGTTGGGTATTGGTTTTTTTGGCCCACCCTGTATATCATGTATGATGTATGTGTAAGATCCAATAAAAAAAACAAAAAAAAACATATGTTTCAAGTATTTTCCAAAGATTCCGTAGACATCATACAGTTAACGTTCAAAAAATTGCTTCTCTTCAAATCCCAACTAAAATTACATAATTTTCACATAGATCCTGTATTTTACAACCAATGATGGATTGGAATTCCCTTTCAAAGCCCCTTATAGAAGCTGAGAATTTAAGTATATTTAAGTCAAGCGCAAAGAAAGAGTTATCCAATTCAATTATTCGATCCTCTGAACTTAATATCTAAAGAAATCAAGAAATTATACTCAACAAGGTTCGTTGTGACTTAAAGTGTGTGGTAATCTATATAGAGTGCGCGATTGTCCGTACTCGGGGACTATAAATAGGGCCAACCAAAGTTTGGTTCAGATAGGTGTGAGAGGACGGTCGAAACAGTGTGCTAAACATAAATTCGCATGTTTACAAATCTAGGTAAGTAACATATTTTATATTGCAAATAATTATTCAAGATGTAACTCGTAAGGTATATTTTTATGTATTGATATAGTGTTGGGTATATATTTTGGATAAACATTGAAAACTTCCACTGCATTATTTATCACGCCGATACATATAAAATATCAACGTGTTGTGGATGATTGCACACGTAATGATAAGTACATGTGTACGACTTACTGATCCTTGGCATATGTACAATGTGTATTGCAGAGTGGCGAACTGTACAACTGCTCGAGATATCTAAATGTTTTAATTTTGTTGATAATTATCTTATTATCTGTTGTTTACAAATACTGATTTATGTTTTGCTCGGTTCACTCCTCAGCATTCTTTCATTGAGATCAAATGATGTAATGGCGGATCTGGGCTAAAGTGCTTTAGGGCCACAATTATTGGGGCATTTCTAGGTATTTCTAGGGCATTTAGGGATGCTAAGTTGTATTGCCCCCCTCTCCCTTTTTGATTTCTGGATCTGTCCCTGGGATGGGTCATATCAAATTACTTTTTGTGATTCAGTGAAACCTATAAATAAGCTAGCAATACGATTGAAGGACCAAAATGCAATATTGTATGATCATTTTGAGTGATATCCATTTTATTACGAATGAGCAAAGCGCAAAAACATGTCAGAGAAGCATCAATATATACCCGGGGTGCCAACTATGACGTAAAACGACCATTAATTTGAATTTTAGACCTACCCGATGTTCGAAAATCAAGGATTGTGAGTGTCATACTGCACCGATTTTCTTCAAATTTGTTTTATACAAAGCAAAACAAAAATGCCTTTCTGCCGATACATTGCCTTATTGTACAGAGTCTCTCGTTTTTGTGGCATTTTGATCCCCAGCTGACAGAAACGCTTCTCAAAGCTGGGGACCAAGACGTCGCTAAAACGAGAGACTCTGTATAACAAAATAATGTACCAACAGAAAGGCATTTTTGTTGTGCTTTGTATAAAACAAATTTGAAGAAAATCGGGCAGTATGAGACTCACAATCCTTGATTTTCGAACATCGGGTAGGTCTAAAATTCAAATTAACGGTCGTTTTACGTCATAGTTGGCACCCCGTGATATAAGAGGAAAACAATCACAATTGCAGTTGTTTGTTCTTGCTGTAAATATTATCTAAACTATATGTTGTTACATGTTTCTTTTCAGTATGGCTGCAAAGAATAAAAAGTTCAAGAAGTTTATCGAACTCTCATTCAACAGTAAGGAGGAGAAGGACAACTTCAACGAGCAATGGAATGGCTTCCGCAAAAAGCGTCCAGATTTGTCTACGATTGTGCAAGTTATGTACTATTTCTTATCCCTGGCTGTAAAATGCACAGATACTGGTAATGAAGCTGTTCCTGATGCCAATTTCCACTACAACAGTTTTGTGAACATTACCAAGGAACAAAGTAAATGTGAACGCTTATTTGTTACGTGTGAGTCGTCCATCAATTCGCTCGTTGGTGCCGTGTACAGCCTTGGTCAACGCTGCCATTTTAGTAGAACTGCCATCGTTACTAGATTGGAAGATTTTGCGAACTTTGTGGCCACATTCACAATTTCAAATGGCAAGCACACATTTTTATGAAAGTCATCGCCTTATATCGAAGGTTGGTCAAAATTTTTCGTGAACGAGAAAATGGCTTGTGGTGTAGTTTGTAGTGGACTTATGTATACTCCATTCACCAGATTTTTAAATGCTACTACATTAGGAAGCACGAACGAGCGTGTTTATAATGAAACATGCAATCGTTTATCTACGATTATATCCAACGAAGCCAAAGCGTCTAAAGAAAGAGCGATACAAAATAGTTTAGCAGGCAGTGGGGCGTCTGGGATAACCATGGAAACCGATGCGTGTTTTTCTGCATTCCGCAATGCCAAGAGGAGTATAACATTTGGCCTTTGCAACGAAACGCATACTGTATTGGCAGATAAGGTGAAATCAACAAATCACGATGACAGTTCTGTCCAACGACATGAAACGATTGCAACAAAGGAAATTCTAAATGATTTCAAACAGGAAGGAATTAAAGTTCGTTGCATCGTACACGATTCTAACAATAGCGTGAGCAAGGTCGTAAAAGACGATTTTCCAGAAGTAAAGGAACAAAAAGACGTTTGGCATGTGATTAAAAATGTTATGTCATCTTTCAAAAAAATTTCGAAAGGGACAAAGAAAACTGAAAATATATGTTGGCATGGTCAGCTATTTGATAAATATGATGGAATTAAAAATCACATATGGTACTCCATCATGCACTCAGGAAATGATGAGACTCTACTACGAGACAGTCTAGATGCGATCGTGTCACATTACCAAGGATACCACGAAAGTTGCAGGCTTACGAGCCATTGTGTAAGAAACCCAAGATATGCCCCATCTCGTGTGCTACTTACTGATCCAATTGCAATTGACCTCTTATCGAAATTTGTCCATGACACTTCAATATACAAAAATCCGCATCTCGTACTAGAAGGACTTAGCACAAGTTACGTTGAAGCGGCAAACAATGCTTTGCGTTCTTTTCTGCCCAAAAGGCATTCCTTTGGTGATACGTCATTTCAAGTCAGGGTTGATTTATTTATTTTGCATTGGAATGAAAATGTTAATCGACCATTCAAGAGAGCGGTTGTTCCTCAAAACGAGGGAACTCCAAGAGAAAACAGTGGGCGAAAATATCAATCAAAGAAAACATTTCAGTATTTGGAAAAGATTTGGATTAGTTACCTGGAAGCATAGATAAATTGTTTTTATTCGTAAACAAACGTCCAGAGAAAATATATAAATACGTTGAACATAGATAAAAATGTTTTTATTAACTGTGATATATATGTTTGTTTGACTGGGTACTTTGTATCTGGTTTAGATTACAAAAATACAATATTATGTACCCAGAAATACATTCAAAAATTGTATGTAGTGTTATATGTTTCACAGGCACAATAGCAGAGTCTTATGTTTATTTTTGGTAATACAACTTCAATATTTTATTCACAATATGAACAAAACCTTTTCTGAATTGAATAGAAATAAATAATTATAGCTTTGTCAATGTTTATTTATATTGTATATGCATCCCCAGTTCTTCACTGCCATTTGTGACCTTGATATGGCACCCCCTCCACATTTACATGTTACGTGTATGTGCGGCCCTCTAACCAGTACCAAAATGATGAACGTCCATTTGCCGATAATCTGAGAGACACATAAATGTATAAATCTGTCGTAACATATCTATTTTAACAGTGTAAATTATGTGAATTTTCCAAAGATGATAATCCGAAAAGTCGATGTACCTTTGTAATGCAATCAGGCATTATCTGTCTTAGGAAAATTACATTCGGATGATTCCTGTGTCCAGGTGTCATCGCCCTTTTCTTCGCGACGTATTCTGGTCTTCGCCACGCTCCTAAGTTTTCCATCAATGACCAGAAACGTTTATACAGCTTTTTTCTCTTGATGCGATTCCTATCTGATGGGTTATTTTCATTGTCCAAACCAAGCCTGGGAACGACCGATATCTGCCCCACACATTTCAAGGTAGCAATGTTCACAGACCATATTGTAAGAGAGTGTCCATATACATAATGGTTTGTAAAAATACATACATTCTCATTCAGTTCAATACATAGTTTAATAACTTTAGAATAACATAATAAGGTATTCAACAAAAAAATCCACCTATCAATAGTGATTATATTGGTTATTTTGGAATACGAAAACAACGGGGCAGCGCAAGCATTATATGGAAAACTGAGAATTATTTTGTACTGCACGAAATCTTCAATGCAAACACCCCTTAAAAACAAATAAACCCTTCTAATCCGAAAATGTAAACACTTTGGTCAACGTAGCTAATTGTATGAGTCCCTTTAATTCTAAGTCACATCTATCCTCCCACACATTTACAAACGTTACTTCACCTGCATGTTCTTGTGGCCATTCAAATGAAACAACAATTCATGTTATTTTTTCTTGTATACTTCGTGCTCCATTCTTAGAAGAGCTGGAAAACAATTTAGTTTTTCTTAATTTTGGTTATTCTAATTTTAAACACAAGAGGGACAAAGTAGAATTATTTCTTTATGGGGATTCAAACTTTACAAAATCCACTAATTTGAAAATCCTCAAGCTCACTTCATCATTTCTAGAAAAATGTGCAATGTGAAGGTTTGTCTGCCACCACTCACTTCACTCTTGAGTTCATATTTATTTTTTATTTTTTTCTTCACCCTGCAATTATTAATCAAGTGACTGATAATCCCTTCAGCAAAGCCACTTCAAGTGTACAATGTTTATGGATTATGAACAGGTCTTAACTGTTTTATATCCCATGGGTCTGTTATGATAGCTAAGATTCAATCAGTAAATGTTTTATAATCACAAAGACAACAAAGACACATTTGCAGACACGATTATATCACGAGAAAGAGAAAAAATTCAAATTCGTAATACCCTATCACTAAAATGCCTCCTAAAAAGGCACGCATCTGACATCCGGAATGGCCTTGATATTTTGAAGGATATATACATCATCTCGAATGAACACTCATGAAAAATTCTTTTTACCTGAAGAGGATATGTATCTACTCAAATATTGCTAATGCTAAAAGTCCCAAGAAACCATAATATGGGATAAGTCATTTGATAAGCATAAGACTTCGTATGAGACTATCATGTACTTATACAGTGTATTACAAAGTTTTTGCCAAAATATGAGTTATTTTTACTAAGATAATGAAATTGTTCAAAATGTAAATAAAACATAGCATATAGGCTATAGGCCTATTGTAGAATAAACTCATCAACAACATGTATTGGTTTCTGACTTATTATTAAGTGTTCAGTATAGTGGACTGAACAATGAAAATTCCCCCCCCCGACCTAATATCCACCTGCCAATTTGAACACTTTTGGCTGGTCCCATGGGTGTTCGGATTAGACAGGTTTTACTGTATTGCTTTTCGAAATGACGTTATTGTACTATTGTTTTTTGTCCTACTAACAAATTCAGAAATGTTCAATTTTCAGGTATCGGAAAACCATATAACACGTTCAGAAATGCCCCAGTTAACAGGTCTTACTGTCATTTGGGACAGTGCAGAATCAACTAAGCATAAAGCAGAACGTAACTACATTGGATTTCATGTATGTTTAATAATAAACCAGACTGCGCTGTTGATAAGCAGATCAGGTTTCTGTAACAAAATATGGGTCAAGAACAGACCATAGGTGTATTTAACCATAAGTACCAAAAGATTAAAAATGGAGTATAACAAAACAAAGCAAGTTAAAGAAACGTCATAGAATACAAAAATACTTGTATTCATAGCGTAAACAGATATGTTTTTATATATTCAGTTTTACACAGTTATGCTTCTCTTTTTGATGAACATTTCTCTCTTTTGTTATCATAAAACAATACCAGTGTTCCTTTTTTAATTTCATACTGTTTTCTACTGCTGGAACATAACTTAAACTAATTGTAACGCCATATATTACCCAGAAATCGGAAGTTTGCATTCAAAACATTATTGCTATTAATTACATATTCAATTGCTGCAACCAAAGCAAAAATACATTATGATTGCATTATTGCCCACCATATCGGTCAAGTTCCAATAGTTATAATGTTCGTTATTGTCATAATATATGTCATACAATTTAAAAGTTTCCAATATTTACCATTAATTGTGTCGTTTTAATTAAGCTTGTCATTTGCGATAAAAAATGTTTGCCTAAACTGGCTTCCTGATGCTTATCATCTAGTACTCCTCTGATTGTGAACAATCAATGTCATATAATGTGTTTTATAAACTCACAAATATCCAATGTTGTTATATTAAATATTAAACTATCGTTGTGAATATAGGTTGATATCCTAAATTCACTCATTGAAGAGGATAATGCGAAGGGGAACCTAATAAATGTTCTTGCAGCAGTTTAAAGGTATCAATTTTTATGTTTTTCCACATGGTGTGCTAATCTATATTTGAAAAGTGTTGAATATTCGAATAGATGGCGGAAAAAGGGGTCAGATCTATTGATTTTGGTGGCTCATTGTTCTAGAGACATTTCGAGTTCCAAGGCGGACATATGGAGCTATAACGCGGTAAATGTGGTTTGGTAACTGAAATCTTAGTTTTTCATAATTGATCCGAATGTTTTTCAATTGAATTGTATGCAGCCATTTAATAGTGGAGTTATCCCGAACAGAAGTAAGGTTAAGCAACAGGTTCAAAGAGACAACTTGATCAACATGCAGAATCATGGCCCCTGAAATACTGTAAGATCTAGATCTCCATTCGTTGTATTTACTTGACCGATTAAGTACAGTTATAGGAAAATAGTTGTCCTTGACTCCTTAGACTATTCCAAATAATAGAGAGGGGATAGTAATCCAAGGGGCCCGTATAATTGCATGTTCACGTACATGACGAGTTCCCGTAAAAACACGTAGCGTAACCTTCCTATTGTTTTGTAAAAATTTCTTGACAGTGGAATATTTGGAAACGCCCATTTCAGCTGTTTCAACACACGGTATGAAATGAACAAATACTCGCAGAGAAATAAGTCATATCGAAGTGAAATGATGTATTCTTAAAAAGATGGCCATAATGCCCTAGATCAATGGCACATGCATATCAGATTTATGTTATGGTATTGCATCAGTCACGGGATCTGTACAAATACATTGTTGTCTGTCAAACTCTAATTGTACACCATCAACCCTGTAACAAAATAAGGTATGTGTTACATAGCTGTTTACACAATAGACTAGATGCCAGCAGAAATAATCTTGATTTTCTTCATTGAAATAATTTAGTCAGAGTCAGACCATATTTGAATCTAGCATATTAAAACATTTAACATGTACAGATTCATTAAATGTCCATGTATTTTCTCGAGTTCAAGACCGGGTGTCTAAATGTATCTTTTTCTGTCGATAAGTAACGTGTAGAGATAAATCAACTCCAAGCTTTTACCGAAACCGCACTGGACCTTTCTACAAAAGAAGAAAATTAAAGAAAATACATACTCTGGACAGCATTGTATCGTCATGAATGTCGCTCCAGGTCCATCTGTCCTCATATACATTGTCAAGTCCGCAGAGAAGTACATATAGGTTTGTCCTGCGATGCAACATGTATCTAAAATTGGGAAGGTGTTCATTTATGTTATGTCATATAAAAACTGAGAAAAGCAACGGCTATATCTCTTAGTTGTGAAACGTGTGCCTGTTTTTGGAAGTTCGTGTTAAGTTTTACAGAAATTCGTTCCCAAGCAAATCGATGATCATTGCATATGAATTGAAAACGGGAAAACGTCTGTCTGTTTTCTTCGACTCTATTCACGGACACTATGCCCTATCAAAGCATATCCCTCGCCTATTTCAACTTGCCTCTCAACTAGAATCATTGCTACGAGTTGACACTGTTTTGAAAAGCAATTTAATTTTTACCCGGTGGAAGATCATTTTCGTCGGGACAGGGAGGGTCTGTAGTCTCATCTGAAACAAGAGATCGTGATAATTATGCGCTATTATGGCGTTAAAAGTAGCGGAATAGATAATGAAACGGGCCAAGGATTCCTCTTGGTGATACTTGGTGAATAATTGTGTTTTATGGATTGTGTATGTTCGGAATACAATTTAATGGTTGCAGTCTTGTAGTTTTAAAGTAGATAATGTGTTATGAATTGTAGGTAGGGCAATTTGAATATTTGGTATGCAAGGTGTTTCATTTTGTATGACCGGTTTTACATATTCACTATCGCTCTTACGGCACCTGTGCTTGAATATTTATTTGGAATCAAACCATTGGACATCGGGCATGGCAGGGTCATTATGGCTTACGGGGTGTAACCATACCAAGTGGTGTGTACTCCAACTTCCTTTTATACATACAGCGTCGAATGCTCCTTACATGATTTCACATACCTCCACAGAATATCCCCATACATTCTGGTACGTTAAACACATTGTCACATGACTTGACCCTATCATTCCAGACACTCGGTGGCATACAAGGTGTCAACGCGTAACCAGTTCTGAATAACAACGGCAAAGAAGGAATGAAAATAGCAAAGACTTAAAGAGATTGTGGCAGATTCATTTGCAATTAATTTGCTGCACCATTATTTCGTGAGAATGCTTCTCTCTCTGGTTGTTAGCTGTATTAGTAATTTTACTGTTCTGCATTATATTATGTTTCAATTGCCAATAAGAGGAGGAAATACACCAAAATTCACAAATAAACCATCTTTATGTTAAGGATAGATAGGTTCATCAAGGGATGCTGGCTTATTCCCCCTTGTTAATAGTATATACCTGTTCAGAAAGCAACTTGCAAACGAGCAACACGTCCTCATGGCGTCATTTGGCTGCCCTGGTTCATCCGGAAGGGTGTGATAAAAAGATGACAGGTCATTACAGGGCGCCGGGAGATCCTCATCTGAATCATATACACGTGTACACTACTCTAATGCCTGGGTCACATTTGCTCCGATCCATCGCCCGGCGCCCGGCCGATTGAGTGTTTTGTTCAATATTGTATTCAATTTTGAACAAAATACTCAATCGCCCGGGCACCGTAGTGAAAATCTGAGCAAATGTGACCAAGGCATAAGCGATATTAGTTTGGATTAATTAAATTAAATAAAAGTTTGGGTTTAAGGTTTTTAAAATAATTATAATTAGCATAGAGTTATGAAACTAATACAGGAACCAGTGAGTTAATACTAGGCTTATGTTTAACACAATTGGAAAGATTTATGTATACAGGGTGTCAAATAAGTCCTGTCCCCCCCCTCTACAGCTAAACCCTTAATAGATGGTACCTAGTGTGATATACCATTGGAAAGATCATCCAAAGTTATGTTAACTCACATACTCTCAAGTATTTTAGATAAAATTTACCTTTATTTTTTTGATGTCTTTAATAGTGAGTGAGCCCTCCTACAGCAGCTTTTATTGTGTAAAAAATGAGAAGGAAATGGCCTCAAAAATGTATCAAAAAGTTAATATTTTTCGCATTCCACTTGTTACAAACAAGTTTCCACCACTATCCTTGCCCCTCTATTTTCTACACATCTTACCCTATCCAGAAATTGGTTAAATTCACCACCATATACTTAACTGTCATCTTGAGCTCCTTTGATTTCTCTAATGCCCGATTCTAAAAATCCTGCCAAATAAGCCAAATTGCCTTGTTTTTAGGTCTTTGGTCACCTCATTTGATACAATGTAACAATTTGTGACAATGATTGACAGGTATGAGATATATACCAATCAACTTAACTTTGGACAATCTTTCCAATGATATATAACACTTGGTACCACATATCTTGGTTTTGGCTGTAGAGGGGGGGACGGGACTTATTTGACACCCTGTATATTATAAACAAACCACCACAAAATATATACGTATATGTATATTTCAAACATTCGTCCATTTCCAAAGCTTCATTTGCAATTATCCATATGATAGTTCACTTATATACATGTATAGAAGAAAATACTGAATGAAATATTTATTCTATAAAATAGGCTTAATTTTATTTTTCATTATGATTTTTAAATGTAAATGCTTTTTGAATGTATAATAAATAGAATTTAAATGCTTCTTTTATCCAACTTACATACTCTTTCACAGCAACACGAATCGATGTCAAACACCTCGTTTGGAGGACATTCGTTGAATTTGTTAGGACTTATCGAATCGATACGGTAGCGTGTCTCGGACAACCTTGTATATATGGGTTGTCTTCCCCCAACACAGCACTGCTCTGCAACAAATTTATAGCGGAATATGTAGGCAAAACTCCCAGACGGATAAGGACAATACTGAGGATTATTAACACTTGTGATATAAAAATGTCAGATACATGCACCTATTAAAGTAATTAGAGTAATTAGCAATTCGTATATCATACATGCTTTTTTATTCGATTGGCTGTTAGCCCTATCGGCAAAAGTATTGTTATGTAACATTATGTAATTTATAATAAAATTACGTCATCATATTATATAGCCAACAACAAACCTCCTTAGTTGTGTTTCTCTTAACTTTTGCCTATCAAAGAGCGCAAGTACCCAGAGCACTACAGCTTCATAAATGATATAATTGATATTTCAAACAATATCTGACCCCTTTTGATAATCCAAGATATGATCGCTGTATTTATGAGGTTTTTCGTTGCAAATGGCAGCAATTTCTTTTCGCAAAAGAAGTTTTTTGAAAGTTAAAGTTACCAAAAAGTAAATCCTATTTCTGTCCTGAACGAATAAGAATCGCATCATAGCCAATTGATAACGAGAGCTCTAATAGGAAACTGGACAAATGCATCATTACATAGACATGACACTCTTCACGTCACATCATATTATATAATGTGTTTATAGAGTTTAAAATGAAATTTTATAATCCGTCTGTATTTTTATCGATATCAAAAGAACATAAGTGGTATATACTAGACCTGTTCATATGACTTACCTCCTCCTAATGGACTTGGACAATCTTCCGTTGTCCGTACTGGGACTGAAAATTTAGAATTCATCCTATAAAATGCATATTGAAATAATATTGCAAATTCATTCTGATACACATCGCATCTGAAAATCTGTCTATGTTTAGTCGATCTATGATGCAAGAAGAAAGGGCCATGGTATTCCATGATGGTAAGATTGCAGACAAGCTTGATTTCATTACACTAATCACCGGTTAAAATTGATTGATGTTCAGAGAGAATTTTTTTATTTGATCATTTTCAACAGCAGTGAAATCAAGTTCGTCTCATTAAATTACCCATTTGATAATAGTTACTTCCGGTTACTGAAAAGGGTCAGTCACGAGAATATTATCAAACTCCTCCAATAATCCGGTTAGAAACCCCTCATTTAAACAAACAAGACGTCTCTCCTGGATGTTCATCAATTTTGTAACCGACAGACAGTCCTGGTAACAAGGTGGGGACCAGTGATTAATAAATTACACAGATCTAGACATATGGAACATCGTACTCATGGTTGCTCATTATGGCAACCAAACATCAGTAGTTTTGTAACAAACAGTGATATTTAGGACAGTGTTAAAAAAGAAGACTGCTCACTGTTACACGTAGTCGGTTCACATTTAGGCTTAACTTGCTTTGGGTCGTCACACGATATAACTATCTGATTCCACACTGTTCCGCCCATACATTTGCCGAGGAAACCTAAAAATGAACCAGAGGATAAATGCCTCAGCCTCTCCTGAGTTTATTTTATAACGTAGGCTGGAATCTATTGGGGTGACAAAATTACAAGCAACATGTATAATTGACCTACCAATCTATTTCATACAATCTCAAATACAATATCTCCAAAAAGATTCACGATATGTTATAAATTGGTGAAGTTATAATGGATTCAAACTGCAAAAATGGGTGGAAATGTTTAAATTCTCCCAAATAATAAAAATGGTAATCATTCTTATAGATATAGATTTTATCATAATATTTTAAAGCCATATACGCTTATAAGGAGACCAAAGAAAAATGCATTGGATGAAATAATTTGGAATAATGAGAACATTGTCATCAGAAATAAATCAATATTTTGGAAGGAATTTTATGATAAAGGTTTTCTAAGAATCAAAGATGTTATGCTTAATGGTATGGTTAAATCATGGAATCAGGTCAAAATGCAAACTGGACTTTCACACAATTATATGCTAAAATGGTTTGGCCTCATTCAGACAATACCATCAGATAGGTTAAGAGTACCGAATGGAAATATGAATGACCAGGTATCTCTAGATAATATAACAGTAATAAAAAGCGATACAGAAGTCAACTTTTTAAAATGTACATCTAGAGAATTTTATAAAATATTGCTGGAAGCTATTGCAGAATATCCAACAGCAAAACACACTTTATCAGATAAATATCATATTAAAGAAGAAGATTGGTCATTTTACTATGAACACTTTCATAAAACCCTGACATATTCAAAACATAAGGCATTTCAATATAAGCTCTTAAACAATATTTTGTATACAAATAGTGAACTTTTTCAATACAAAATAACTCCTTCACCAATGTATGAGTTTTGCCATGTGAACATAGAAACTTGTGACCACATCTTCTTTAATTGTGATTATACGAAACAGTTTTGGAAATCATTAATAGATAATACATTAAAAGATCTCGAAAGATTTTCTCTGCTTACAGTATTATTTGGTAGCCCAAAATGGAGTGATTTTGAAAATATGGTAATTATTATAGGAAAGTACTACTTATATAATAAGAAAATGCAACAAGAGCCTCCAAATTATTACAACTTTAAGGCATATTTAGATTATTGTTTAAAAATGAAAAGGGATTTTAACAGTATGATGGTATGAGTGGAGAATGTGAATGAATGGGTAATGGAGTGACTTGTATAATTTTTCACTTATATGTATACATTTTAAATTTGATGAATAAAAAAATAAAAAAATAAACCATTCTTATAGAAAAATAGCACATTCTTGTAAATATCGTTAGTTTTCCTGAAATAAAGTGTGCACTTAGGGGATGTTTAGAAAATAGACATGAAAAGTGATGACATAAGCCAGAAATATTCTAAAATTTAAACAATTTTTTTAGGCTGCTCGGTGGATCTGATTTTATTTTTAATTTAGTCGCATAAGATCTAAATCGAACCAAATGATAAAATCAACCAATACATAGCGTGTTTACCAGTTTTGTTTAAATTCGCCGAGTCGCAGACGACGAATGAGCAACAGTCGCCCCCTCTATCGTCATTAAATTCTATTCCTGGAAGATATCCTTGATTTTCAGGCTGTGCGCATCGAACTGGAATGTAGATAATTCAGATTAGGTCACGAACAATGTGCAACTTATACAGAACAGTAGAGCAGTCTGGTCATCATTTAGATCACCATAAGAGTCACTCACCATTACTCGTAGTTGTGTCACAATCAAGTGGTTTCTGAGGAAACAGCAAAATATGGTTACAAGGGAACGAGACCCACCATATGCATGTAATCATCACACACCCTGTTTTTTCGCACACTGGTAGGCTTTGCTTCTTGTATTCGTGAATGCAAATAGCAGCTTGCGGCTACCGGATTAATCTACTTTTTATTCTAAACATGAATGGAATAGTGGCGGATACTGTGCATATAAGTTGCCCATAAAAACGAAAGTTAATCCGGTAGCCGACCATTGAGAGTTGCATTCGCGAATATAAGATTTGATATGCTATTCGATGAAAACTACCTATAGCCAAATTCATGGATGAAGTGTATTTACATGGTTAACTTGTACTTCAACCTTTTTGAACAAATATTTCTACATTTTTTAAAATGTTTCATCTTTTCAAAATTGAAATATTTCGAGGAAATGAACATTATTGAAAAATGTCATAATTTCTCTTCATCTTATTCATTTTTCTACTAACACGCCTAACCATCGACAACGTACAGTGACAAAATATACGGGTGTACACTTTAGCTGTTTGAAGCTGTACGTTGTCATGTTTGAAACAAAGATTGTTATGTAGATTTAAAAAGATGTATCTAAGGAATATGATGAAGTATTTCAAGTTTAATTCTATGTGTATGCTCTTGGCAAGACGTTTAACTTTATAATTACGTTAACGGATTCTCAAGCCGAGCAGTAATTTCCAACCACACCAAAACCATCATTGGCAATGCACAAGAAACGTGATTTAAAAAAATGTATTACTGCATTTTAGTTTGAGGGAACTTACGCTGTTGAGCCGATGTTAACACGACAGCAGGGCCACTTCGCTCTATCAGATACCCGGATGTGTATGCGGCCAAATATCCAGATATTAAAACAATGGTTACCCCTGCCCCTGCAAGCAAATTGAGAAATATTAGTTCTTATTTTAGGATCAATACTTGAGTGTCTAAAACCTAATTTGTTTGAAAATGATCATTCTGATACTCATAGCAGCTTTCTGTTCCACTTGAAACATGCTCTGATATTAGAACAGACACGGGTACACAAGTTTTATGACCCCAATTAAATGAAATATGAACTGGGATGAATGATCTAAAAAAAATCCTCAATTTTGGGCTCTCCTGGATCGCCAAATTAAGTTCATTATATCATGGCATCCCAGGACTGAGACGAAATGAGATGTCATGGTTTATCATGATGGAAAATGATTGAAATCCCACCAGAAACACATAATGTTCATCAAATTTCTTTGCATAAAGTACATTTTGGCTAAAATTAAATCCTGTTTAGCTAGAAAGTTAAATAGAATGCCTAGAGATGTGTGAATAGATTATTATTAACATGATAAAAAGCATTTGACATTTCTAAATTATTATTCATATTTGTTACTTTTATATTGTATTCAAATATCATTTTACATGACGAATTTATAAGTGTATATTATCACCAAAATCAATTTTTTTTTTTTTTTTTTTTTTTTTATTAATCATCTTTATTATATTCCATAAAATACAGCTGTACAAACTTAAACAATTGCCAAAGTCTAGTGACATTGTCGGCAATTTTGAGTGAAATCCAAAGGAATGTTATTAAATTTTTACATAATAAGTTATTTTTATGTCATGTTATTGTTAAAATAGATGAAAGAAAAAGTCAATAAAATATCATCACACTACACTCGTATATCACAAAGATGTGTAAGGTTTTTTCCCTTGGCCAGAGGGATTTCAGTTGTAACATGTTGTAATCGATTACATGTCCAAAAGATCTAGACCCTGGTGGATATAATATGCTACTATGTTCGTTAGTTTCTCATTGACATCTACTGGAAATTTATTATCTCCAAAAAGTAAGAACTGGGATTGATCATGCATATTAAGTCCATCATAGTGGGTACGGATCCCTATCGTCTCCAGTCCTGCAAGTAGTGTTGTTCTCTGTTCTGTCAGCAGAGGGCATTTCAACAGGAAATGTAAAGTTGTCTGGTTTATATTGTCACATAAACATTTAGGATTAGCAACCCGTTCAAAGTTGTGTGCATGGAGGTGAGCTTGCAAGAGAAGTCCGGACCTGAGTCGGTTTAGAGGAATTTCTAGGTAGCGAGGCATGGCATTTTTTAGTTTTGACGTTGATAGGGTAGAAGCATGGCTTCCATCGCCTCTTACTATTCTTTTAAATCTTGAAATTGGCTGACCAATTCTATAATCTGGTGGAAGGTTATTCCAAAGGGCCATACCTTTAAAAATTGTAGATTTCTTAGCCAAAGCGCTTGTTTGAAGGGGAATCTTATAGTCCCTGTGGCTCCTTAATGAGCGCACTTGTATATCATTCTCATAGGACCTGACAAGATTACAAATGAAAGGAGGAAAGTTATTATATCTTGCTTTAAAAATAAATATTTTGAGATGTTCCTCTCTTCTAGAGGATAAAGTTTTCCAGTTTATTGATGAGAGAACTTTATTAGTGTTCGAGCCATGGATTGCTCCAGAGACTAGACATGCTGCTCTATAATGTAACCGTTCAAGAGATTGCAATTTGGTATCTGATGCACTATTGTAAATGATGTCACAATAGTCAAAATGAGGGAGTATGTACGCATTATATAAAGTTTCAAGGTGCTTGCTTGACAAGATCTTGCAGAGTTTCTTCATGGGCCTCATCAGGCTTATTACTTTGTTAATTAATTGATCAATGTGAGCGTTGAAGTTTAGGTGCTGGTCAAGAGTAAGTCCGAGGTGTTTATGAGTATTACATCTAGGGACTATTTCCCCGTTCATTTTCAGAGGAGGAGGTTCAATATTAATGTTTCTATGTCCAGTGAATATCAAATCAGCGCTTTTCTGTGCTTTAAATAACATTTTCCAAGTTGCAGCCCAATGGTCTAAGTGGTCCAAATCACTTTGAATGGGCTCATGAATATCGAGAAATATTTCATTTACATCAAAAGGATTATGGAGTGAGGTGTCATCCGCGAATATGAATGTCTTTGAAACAAGACCATCCGGTAAGTCGTTGATATATATCAAAAATAGGAGGGGTCCCAATACTGAACCCTGAGGAACTCCTGCGTTAATTTTATAATTCTTGATCTGAGGGTTGTTATTATGTATTTGTGTATCTGATTCTTGAGCATATGTATGTTGAACAGAGGAATTTGTTCTTTCATTCGGAACAAAATAAGAAAAAAGGTGCTGGTATTAAAATATATAGAATAGCCAAATCACGCCTAACCATCGACAAGGTACAGTTACAAAATATACCGTAGTACACTTTAGATGTACGATGTCACTACTTAACCGATTTGAAGCAAAGACGATTATGCATGCGCAGGTGTGATGTAGGTTTTAGAACATTAATCTTTACTTGGGGATACTTGAAAGATGCCATGCTTAATTTCGTGCGTATTCGTTTAGGAAGACATTTAACTTTTAATAACGTTAAAAGATTTTCGAACAGTGCTCGATTTCTTTCGATGTCAATCTAACCACGAAAATTGATCGGTTGGAAAATGTCGGGTTTTTCACATTTTCTTTGATCATTTTTCCCCAGTTGCCTAAGAGTGTCGATTATTTTTATGAGAATATGTTTCTCTATACTACATAATTTAGGACGGGTGGAGATTAATAAATATTCATTAAAGTATTTATTGTAATTTAAAAAAATCAGAAATGTGCGTTGTCAACTCGAATGTACGTTGTCCCTGTCATTGAAATTCATGAGATAAAATCTTCAACAGACCTTAATTGTGCTGTTTAAAGAAACATATTACCATAAAAATCTTCGACACTCTTAGACGACACGGGAGGAAATGATCAAAGAAAATGTATAAAAACACAACATTTTCCAACCGACTTTCCAACCGGGTAGATTGACTACGAAAAAACACTGTTCGAAAATCTTTTAACGTTATTAGAAAGTTCAATGCCTTCCCAAACGAATACACAAAAAATCAAACATGAAATCCTTAATGCATTCCTCAGATTATTTTTTTAAAACCTACATCAAACATGCATCATTGTCTTTGCTTCAAATCGGTTAAGTAGCGACATCGTACATCTAAAGTGTACTACGGTATATTTTGTCACTGTATCGTGTCGATGGTTAGGCGTACAAATACATATTTGAAAATATTCAAAGTTATGAATAACAGATGAGTCTACATCAGGAAGCAATTATTAAATTGATAAAATCATGCTACCAATCATGAACTATGATTATGTTGTCAAGCTGCACATTTGAATGAAATTAGCTAAAACGTTGAAGATTATTAAATGGAAATATTAGTATAGTTCTCGACACGTTTATCAAAACAAATACACCAAACTTTTTGAAACATAAGGAAACGTTAATTGTTAGGCACGGTATATTTTAATCCTGTACAAATATGAACATTACAAAGCAATCAGAAATCAATACCAAATGCAACCAAAAGATGTGTCCAACATATAAACCCAATAAAAAGTATTAAAAAACTTACGTTAACTTACTCATTGTTAAATATTAGGGTCAGCTGGCGATTTCATTCCATGATCTTTTTAGCATCACGTCATGGAGGGTGTTTAACATAATTGATAGCTTCTTATAAGGCTAATTGGTATCATTTGTCTAAGTGTCGACGACTTTACTGTTGTTTTTAAACCAAGTGCATGGTTCATGTTGAATACAATGTGGTGGGGCATTTTCATATAAAGTATTCATATATTTGCTATATATTCGCATCTAAATTGTATCATGTGTATTATGTATACTTCCTCTTCCCGCACTTCGTTTACTTTTTGAAAAACTACTGAAGAATAAAGAAACAAGTTAAGTTCTTCACAAACTATTTTTATTGATATTTATTTTTACTTTATATATAAATGTAATGATATGTATATATTATTTTAACATAATTCATATAAGTATGTATTAACATATACAAATTAACATTATTTAGTTAGTATTTACTATTATAGTCCATGGTATGAAATCTCTAGGACGTCTAATAAAGGAGCTGGTAGCACACTATAGCGCAGCGATATTTGACCTTACATTAACATGCCTACATATGTCCCGTAATAATTTTTATTATAACCTTTCAATATACTTTCGGCTTTTAGGCTGAATTATGCCTGCCATTAACAGAGGTAAAAAAAATCACCCAAAAATAAAATCCCAATTTCGCACAATTTGGAGTACACAATGCAACAGAAAATAATACAAAATGATTTTAAATATATAATTTAGGTTTCTAAGCTACAAGTTTGAGGTTATTTTTCTTATCAGTACCCAAAAATATGTAATCAGTGTATCGACATTTTGTATTGCTTCTCAGGTATTAATAAGATAAATGTTGCAAATGAATCACTTTTATATTGGAATGACAAATGTTTAAATTATGCTAGTTTTTCACAAAAAGGGTCTCAATACGTTTTGAGATATGGACTTTTATTCAGCGGTGAAAATTATCAATAAAGGCGGGCCTATTGCTCTTCCTTGACTAATTGGGACTATAGCTAAAATTCTATTTCCCTTAGTTAGATATAGCTCAGTTGCTTATAAAACAACCATCAAGACTTGATCAAATTCATGAATAATTGAGAAAAATCGTTATCATAATCTTCCTAAAATTTGATTGTATCCAGCGGTAAGGTAAAGAACAAACAGCCATCAGAAAACTTGATGATATCCACAAGTAACGTCGAGGAAGAATATCGAGCCGTTCGATTGCATATGACTCTAATTGATTATTAGACATGCCCTTGGAATATATGAACATTCCAATACCTCTGTAACATTTAATTAGATATAAATCTTACCTATTTGTTATTGTATTATGTTTTGTAAAACATGAACAATAATTTGTTGTTAGACCCCTTGCGATTATATGGGAAAATTCCGGAAATAAAATGTTTTAAATGGTAAGAAAACTATATATTCCCAATCATAAATTACCTAAATATTCCACATAATTTTGTTGAATCATCTTGGCTCATATTTGAAAAATCAAACAAAATCTGAAAAACACACTTGCATAATTACACTAATTAAACACCGACATCTACAGTAAAATAAAATAGTATATTTTTAAATTATGATAATGTATCTTTGTTCGTATGCTTAGAATAACGGGCTGTGTCTTATAAAATGTATAAAAGTTCGAATCAAAATATTTACGTTTTTGACCCCTTGTGATGAAAGACATCTTTCGACCCGAAAGCCGGAAGTTTTTTCAGCAAATGGTATTTTAAAAGAATCAAGACATGTACACCTTCATAAATATTGCTTTAAATGTTGCTGCGCTAGAGTGTGCAACGGATCCTTCATAGTCGGAAGTCATACCATTAACTATTACCTAAATATTGAGTGATCTAAAATAAAGTGCTCTGGCTTTGAAAAGTGCTTAATCTGGATAGCTTTCTGTACAGAACGATTATCAATATGTATAATATGAGTAAAATAACAGCACATATCTACTTCAAAGGCACCAGGGACAGTCTTGTAAAAAAAAGATTCTCAACTTTGGGTTTTACATACCTTCAAACATTTAGATATTTTGTAATTGCTATAGTCGGGAAAGATTAATGATTTTTGTTAAGTGTCCAGTATTTCAGATAGTTGAGAAATTTTGAAATTCAGTCTTGAAAAACTGTTGGAAAACACATGTAGAAAACACAACTGTAGAAAATCTCTTTTTGAATAATCGAATTCAATATATTGACGTCAGATAGGTCTAGTAGTTTCTCATTCGGAGTTTCAACTGAAGTTATAAAACAAAAACTTGTAACATTTTTAAATGCATGAAATAAAACAAATTATAAGAAAACTTAATATATACCTAACAGTTAGGCCGGATGTACCATTTTTAAATTAGTTAGAGCACACCTTACTTTATTTAGTGATTACCTTGTAGAAAGCCTTGCAGAAAATATGTTGGTTGTTTAATCAACATGTTCAAATTAAGGATAGTACTGTATGCAACGAGTACAGTCGATTTGAACTTTCAAAATTTTCTAAATAATCAACAGGTTATTTCTTAATTTTTATTTCCCTCTGTATTATCTATTTATTTATTTATTTATTTATTTATTTATTGGCACGGTCACTGATTATCAGGCAGGGCATGGCCTAACTATACTGTTAACATTGCTTTTGAGATTGTGGCATTTGTCAAATCCTTCAGAGCTGTTTCATATTTCTCCAAAGGATACGATTTCACACCCAATTTTTCCAAATCAAGTTTTCCATCTCTTGCCATGTTTTCCGCCAACGATACAGCATCCATATGGGTATTACACTCTGTATTTGAACTCAAAATTTTCACTTCTTTGTTAAGCAAGTCGTAGGGTGAAATTGAAGATTTTGCTTTTGGTGGGCAAATTCCAAACATCATATAGGTGGCACCTTTGCGTAAAAGCGGAAAATAGTCCTCGAATGCCTTGGATGAACCGGTAGAATCGAAAATCAGGTCATAACCATCTAGGGAAGTATCGATATCTGTATACTTCTCAATAATCTCACTTGGGTCTGCAACTTTTAACCCACTAAGCTGGCAGTTCTTAGCGATATCTCGTCGGCCTTGCATTGGCTCACATATTGTGATGTCACGGAATCCTTTGTAATGTAACACAGACGCTTTTAATAACCCAATGATGCCACTGCCCGCGATCAAAATGGACGCTGAGTCCTGAAGAGGACTGTAAATTGAAAAGCTATGTAGAACACAGGACATTGGTTCCATCAAAGCACCAACTTCAAATGTGATATCATCCGATATCTTAAACAACTGCGAGTTTTCTACAAGACAATAATCTGCCCAAGCTCCATCCCTAAAAAGTCCATTATAATTTGCAGACCCACCTGTCGGACATAAATGTGGCTTTCCGCGATGACAGAATCGACAATGGTGACAATGGGTCCCTGCAGCTGCTGTAACACGGTCTCCAGCTTTAACATTCGTCACCTCAGGTCCAATATCTACTACAGTTCCAGCAAACTCATGACCAAGGACAACATTATCTTTGATAAGCCACTTATTTTTGATACAGTGTATATCCGAGCCACATATTCCGGCGCATGGAATCTTCAAGAGAACATCATTTGGTTTAACTACTCTCGGGATATCCATGTTTACTAGCTCGAGTTTTCTCTGAGACTGGGTCAGCCTAATTGCTCTCATAATATTGGACCTGAAATTAAAAATATATAAGCACAAATGCCAAAGGGAGGGGTGACTAAAAACTTTAAAGAAACCCAACAAGAAAAGCAAACTGTTAGTGTAAATCTGTCATAAGAAAAGTAGACCCTATACATGTATATCCCAAAGCCATAATCTAACGTGAGAAACAATGTCTAACATCCCCCTCCCCCCCCCCCCCCCCCCCTTCAATCGAGAACCAATATCACAATCCAGGACCAGAACACCAAGGGACATTTACAAAGTTACAAAGTTATAATCCAGTAAAATTAACTTTAGCTCACAGCCCAAAATTCAATTGCGATTTTTAGATGTGCATAGGGCAGTGAATAAACTGAGTTTATATTCCACCTTATCAAGTGGTTCATATATTAAATAAATGTATTGTAAAACGTTTAACCGATGTCTACATTAATAGTGTCGAGTAAAATGAGTTGTAATTCAAGATAGACTCTTTCAACATTTATAGTGTTTAGTAAAATGTGTAGTTGATACTTACATTTTTCTGTATTACATGTGCACCTGTCCTTCTAGTATTGATAACATATACTGTTGCACAGTTTTTAATATGCTGACATGTTTGAGAGTTGATATCGGATGCTCAGAGCACTATTTATCTGTACGAATACCGAACACAATACACAATTATACACAGCAAAACAATCATGTCATATCTCAACACACTACCCTACCACGTGACCACGTTTAAAAAGAAACAGGGTACAGTTAAGTTGCAAATGGAGGACGTGGGTTTAATTCAATATTTCTGAACGTAAAAAAACATTTTACATTTATTTCTAGTGTTCTACCAGACATAAAATAGATTCATCAAGCAGTTTGTAGAATATTGTTGGCAAAAAACTCATATAGGCAAAGATAGATAATAGTGAGCGCAGTAAATCAAAACTCGAAAGCAATACAAGATACATTTCAGTAAATCTATTAACGTACAGGGAGCATGTAAGTTTCATTCGAAAATTGTGTGTCATTGTGTTATATGCAGATACGTTTTCTATAATTAATTGTTTATCTAAATCTTAAAATGAACAAAAAGTCGTCCCAGAAATGTAACTTTACTTTGCCGAAAGGCAGAACATATTGTGAAACATTTTTCCTCTTGTCACAAAGAGGATAATGTTTGTTTTAAGGTGTCTGGTGAGTGTTTCATGATTAAATGCAAATTAACTGGAGCAGATACCATCCTAAAACCTCTGACATTAAATATGTCATATAAGACTACATCGACCTCGTAATTGTTTTCAGAGTTAAAAGTATTGGTTAAGCATAGTTCAGTATTACAAATCCACTTCCTACAAATACACTAATTGTACAGCACTATAATTAGTGAACATTCAAAATGGCAGCGGTAACGGTTACGCGATAACCATGATACAGCAATATATAGCAATATATAGCAATTATAGTTATTTTGCAGTTTTAGGCAAGTATTTCCATAAATTCAGCATTTGAAATATTCTAATGACGTCCCTTGTAGGCATTCATGCATCAATATACTCAAATGAAACGTATCATTCCTTCTATTATTCATTATATTCTGGTTTTGAATGTCAAATACAGCTCAATGTACCACTGGATTAGGATATCAAGCGCATTAGAAAAAATGATTGGCACATGTACGTTGTTATTGTACTCGTCTGAAAATAAAAATTAGATCAATTACATTTAGTGGTTCAAAAATATACTATCACACTTGTGTACAAAACATGAATCTAGTTCATTATTGATTCAGAATCTCAGAATTAGTTTTTGTGTAAAACCAGCGAATCGTTCTGTTAAACAAACTTACTTTCCCGCTCCCTGTACTATTGAACAATTTACATTCCCTGTACCCTGTATTGATCAACTTCTGCAACTTTGTACCCTGTATTATGACATATCAAATATCTTAACATTTTAAATAATATTATCTAGTATATTCTTTCTTCAACCATCATATGGCTTTGAACATGGACTTCACTATTGCATCATTGAAGTTCAGCGAATAACAATATTGACTCACTCCGAGCACCAAACGTATTAACCTGTTGACTAAGCAGTCGATATACTCAAAAGCGACTTGGGTGAAAGCCAAAAGTTTCGCGCATGCGCGATCAAGGTAGGGTCAAGTATCACCCTTAACTGAATATTTCTCTGAACCCAATAAATGGAGACTCATCATGATGATTGATGCTTCTTAGTTGTATTACCCCTGTTATGTACAATATGATTAAGGAAGTAACACGTATAAACTTCAAAAGTATCAGAAAGTCTTCAAAAATTCAAAATAATCTAAAGGAAATAGACCAAAAACGTTACAGAACACTTCAAGAAAAAAATATCTAAGAGTACAGCCATATGACAAAAAACCCAAACTATCCGAAGCCCTCTCGTGCAGATATCAATATCACCTCGTAGATAAAAATGAGGGGAGCAACATTTTTTACAAAGTGAAAAAATTTACACAAATTCATGTATTTGAAAAATGAACTCAGTAACTTAGTAAGAAACTGGCTGTTACATCTCTAAAGAATGAAATTCAACTCATACGTACTCGTTTAACGACATCGCGTTTGAAACCTTATTATTTACAATATACTAAAGAACGTTGAGAATTCTTCAGAACTTAGATTATTTAATTACAACGTACTATATGAGTTTACATACCTAAATAATTTACACGTTCTGAAAAATGAGAAGATTATTTGAAAAAATCACAAAATGAGAGCATTTTTATCAGAATATACAAATGGCCCCTTGTGAAGCCAAGTTATAGTCTTGCTATTTATGATTAATGTAGAATATATGTCAAAAAGCCAGATATAATAGCTTCGCTATATATTATTAGTGTTTAATATATATTATACTGTAAAGCCAGGCAATAGCCTTATCATGTATGATTAATGTAGAATATATAGTACTCTTCAAAAAATTTAAGGACCAGTGGTTTTCCTCATAAGTTTACATGTTAGCCCCCATATTTGCTATTAAGTCTGCAAAATTCAATGTTATATCTTTATTACAATAGGTCAACATTTGATGTCAAATGTCAAAAATTTGCAGACTTTATAGAGAGTAGAATCAAGATACAGATGTATTTACTTTATCGAGTTGTTTTCATCCAAGCCTGGGAAATAGTCGTTCAAACAAATATGGGGGTTAACATGTAAACCTATGAAGAAAACCACTGGTCCTTAACTTTTTTAGGAGTATATATACCCCAAAGCCAGATAATAGCCTTGCTATATATGATTGATGAAGAATATAGCAAAGTCAATGTAGAATATATACCGTAAAGTCAGATAATAGCCTTATTATGTATGAATAATAGTACAATAACGTCATTTTAAAGGGCAATATACTGAAATATTTGACCAAGGGCCGCAGGCCCAAGGTCCAATATTTCACTATTTTGCCCGCAGAAATGACGTTATTACTATTATTACCACCGTTAATGCCCAGGGCTGAAATAGCAAATTTGAAATAGAAAATCTTACGCACTGAACGATATCACTTTTCCCGGGAAACATAGCCGGGCGGATAATGTCATTATTGCCCGACTAAAGTCATTAACGCCCGACACAATATTGCTCACGTCAATATAGCAATTTAAATGCCTTCTCAACTAGTACTAAAACCCCTAGAACAGGCCCTGCAAGGTGGTAATAATGTAGAATATATATAACCCAAAGCCAGATAATAGCCTTGCTATATTTGATTAATTAAAAATACACTGTGTTCAGGAAATAAAGAAAATTATGTCATAACATTTTTATATATGCATGGATTTCAATGATTATAGTTTGAACATTATGTGGATTGACTTGTAGAGTTTCTTCTTCAAATAATTTATACATACCGTAGAATCAGGTAATTCTATACTATTTATCAGTATATTATTTATACGTAATATATTCAGGTAAAAAATAAAGGTAGTAAATCCAGGTTATAGCTTAAACTATGATTGATGTAGAATATATAGGGCTGAGTAATACCCTATATCAGGAATAATGATTATAATGTGTCGTAGAGCGAAGTCATAGTCTATGTCTAAAAAATTAGTTTAAAAGTTAATCAAATATATACTTACATTTTTTGTATCGCTGGGTAGTCGTCCTTTACCGATAGCGGCTACCTAGACTACGCTTGGCAAATTATAAGACGTGTACCGTTTACAATGTGTCATGTTGACCTGTAGATTTGATGATTTATTTTCCTTGTTGTACTATTTAAGTCAGCAGCTGAGCACATTTATAAGAAATTATTGATTTTCCCCTTAAAATACCCCCTATATTTCGGGGGATACGTACACTAGTTTATGTAACTTACGCATCCTTGAATTTTTAGACTTGTGTGTGTGTTGGAGACTATAGTTAGCCTGCTCATAGCTTTATTACTTTTTAAGAAAAAAGCAAGATTTTTTGAAATTTTCATGCATTGATCCTCGTTAAATTTCAGGAAACTAATGGTCCATGTTAGTTCAGTCTTATCTTTATTGCAACTCGTGCAAATACGTATTTTATCATATACTCAGCTTAACCCATTGGAATGTGGCTTCGTTCTTGAAAATGACATGATTTTACCACTAAGGATACTCTGCTGAGGATATTTTGCCATGTTACAGGGTCCGAAATTAGCGTTGCGGAAGTAGCGAATCGCTCCTTCATTTTCTAAGTCGTTACCTAGCAAAATACCCAAAGCAACGAAAATAGTTACGTGCTTTATGGGAAGATCTCTAAATGACCATCAACTTAACATCTCAAATGGAAATATGCCGCCATCCGTGATCTAATAATTTTTTGAAATTTTTCTTTGGCACTCTTCATCCTCTTTCACTTTAGCTTGTAGGCTGTAACTTCTCAAAACGTAAGATTCAGTGTTAAGTTACAGAGTTACCATACAGGGGTCCGTTTTTGAAACCATCGTAACTTACGATTTGGTCGCAAGTCATTGTTCATCAAAACAGAGACAAATGGTTTTCTCGGAATCGTAAGTTACGATCGTACGAAAAACGAACCCCAGACTCTTATTTTCCTATAAAAAGTTTTAAAAACCGGCAATTTTGAGGTAAAATCACCGTATTGTTAAGAAACATTTTGAAGTTGCTAACTTCCTGTATGAAAAAGGGAGACATGCATCTATTGAGAAAAATACTAGTGATGAGTATCACCCCTTCAATAATATTTGAAGTTCCCATGACCCATGATATTTGAAATAAAAAAATGAAATATTGGAGAGGAAAACTTTAAAATGCAACAACTATTTGCATAAAGGAGGAGGGAAAGTATCGCAACATATTTTAGACAGTCATTTGTTGGATTTCGGCTATTTTCTGAGGATTTAAACAAGTGCATACAGTTCCCTCCATAAGTTTGGCATCCTTTTTCCCCAATGAACTACGTGTTAAAGCCTCTTTACCTTTGAATTTTTATTTACTTAAAATGCGATGAAAATACTTATACTATTGATGGAAACGTAATTTGACTTTAATTCCAATACCTCCAAATTTTCTCAATTTTTTTCCTCAATTACAATAGGTCGAAAATTGATGATAAATTTGATGAATTTTTGAAAATTGACATGAGAAAATTCGGAGATATTGGAAATAAAGTCAAGTTGCGTTTCCATCAATATTATAAGTTATTTCATCGTCAGTTAAGTAAATAAAAATTCAAACGTAAAGAGGTTTTACCACGTAGTTCAATGGGGAAAAAAGGTTGCCAAACTTATGGAGGGGAGTGTATGCCAGACCAATGCATTACCTCCAGGAAAAGCACTCCTAGAGATGATAAAATAATTTCGACTTTGGGACAGGAAAGATGCAAACAATCCACCCACATGTTATTCTGAAATGTTTTACTGATTTTCAACCCCTTTCACGCCTGCTTTTTTATTTTTTCTTGCATCATCATGTTGTATTTTGACATACAGTTAACCCCTTTAAAGGAATAAGTGATTCCGTCGGGATATCCATTATGGGTGACCAGAATTAGATGAAAGCAATGGATCGCATGAGTTTTCCCTATTGGAGAATGACATGGGAAATATTGTTTTCCACTTTATCTAAAAGGAATCACTTATTCCTCTAAAGGGGTTAACTGTGTATCAAAACACAACATATTGATGAAACAAAAATTAAAAAAGCAGGGATGGAAGGGGTTGATCATGAAAATCAGGAAAACATTTCAGAAAAAACATGTGGGTGGGTTGTTTGAATTTTTCCTGTCCCAAAGTCGAAATTATTTTATCATCTCTAGGAGTGCTTTTCCTGGAGGAAATGCATTGGTCTAACATCCTAAGAAAATAGCCAAAATCCAACATACGAGGGTTATCCCATAAGTCTTGGAATCCTTATTTTAATTCATAGAATATTTGAGATACGATATGAAAAATTTCACATTTTTTAGCTCGGATATATTTCTACTATATCTGAGAGTTTCATAGCATAATACGATCATTTGGCAATGTTACAGATGATTTTAAATGGAATGTTGGGGGTACCCGAGGCAGAAAACAGGACAAAATATACAAAATATGACGTCAAAATGAAGGATTTGGGAGCTCATCCTAAGTTGTATTTTTTCTGCTCCTCTATCAGAATATTATGGAAGAATCTAGGGACTATCCTTGACATCCCAATGTCTTTCTTCATCACTCTGTGAGCAGTACTCTTACAAATATCAAAGTCTAGGGCGATCTTCCTAAAAGAAGTTCTCCTTTCAGCCCTTATACTCTCTGCAATATGTGGTATGAGATCGTCAATGGATTTTGGCCTTCCACTTCTAGGGCTTTCTAGGAGCATCCTTCAGGCTGCTATCTCCAGTTTTTAACTTCTACCACCTCCATATTGTAGGTGCACTGGGAGTATACTGTCTATATACATTTCCCATGGCTGTTCTTGTTTATGTAGGTATGTGCCCTAAGGAGGCGTGGTATTGCACAACTTATTTAACATCTAGTGACAAAATCCCTGCTTATTTGATTTTCAAAATGCTGTGTCTCAGTACCAAAATTGAGCAATTGGGCTAGTTTATTATAATATCTCAGATTTTACAAAGAATAGGCTGTTTTTGTCAATCTTGACAGATGGTTCACAATTTAAGATGCATGCAATCGTTTAAAATCGCTAATACTTCCATGGTTCCATTTTACATTTTTACTCTTTTTCATGACTACCCCAACCCCGACTTCCCCGGTTACCATAGCAACCATAATCGTTACTCAAGTTCTTTTGTAATGAAACTATCACATGTTGAAGATAATCGATTGATCTTGATACATACCAATTTTCAGCAAAATTCATTTCTATCTTTTTGAATTAGAATAAGAATTTCAAGAAATTTCAAGACAACCTTCGTATGACTGTCCGAAATCTGTTGCGATACTTTCCCTCTTCCTTTATCAGTCTCACCTTTCACCTAGGGATGTTTATAATGGGAAATTTGAATTTTAATGTGTATACCTCACTCGCCTCGGAATTCATACAGAATTGGCACATTGCGTGCATATCCAGAATGTGTCCGGGCATCTACATTCAAACAGAATTAGCGCATTGTGTGCATATCCTGCATATATCCGGGCATCTACATTCAAACAGAATTAGCGCATTGTGTGCATATCCTGCATATATCCGGGCATCTACATTCAAACAGAATTAGCGCATTGTGTGCATATCCTGCATATATCCGGGCATCTACATTCAAACAGAATTAGCGCATTGTGTGCATATCCTGCATATATCCGGGCATCTACATTCAAACAGAATTAGCGCATTGTGTGCATATCCTGCATATATCTGGGTATCTCAATTCAAACAGGATTGGCACATTGTGTGCATATCCTGCATGTATCCGGGCATCAGGATTCAAACAGGATCCATACATATCCTGTATGAATCCTGATGTCAACATATTGTAAAATCAAGACATGTTTAACTTATTATTTGTTGCTCTTTTAGGTCTACTGCCAAGCAAACCATTCTTCAAATATTCTAAAGCCATACTTGCTGAAGGCTTTTCTTTACCCAATTCAAAACTACATGAAATACTTATATATAAGGGAAAAAAATCCTCAAAATAGCATGTATTAGTGTTGACTTCGAAACTAGGAAATGTTACCCCCAAACGTTTGCATCCAAAAAACAAAATCTAACGGTTTATGAAAATGTATTTTTAATAAAGGTATTAAACATACTACATCCCGAGTGTCACATGAAAATAATGTCGTAGAATACCTTTAATTTTGACTATCAAAATGTATAATCGTTATTATCGTATGAATACATTGATGATACAATGGCTAGGAAATGTTAAACAGGTAACTAAGACACTATATCCAATAGTAAACTTCGTAATTTGATAAAGAAAGATCCTAAAGTCCGTGAACAGAATCCATCCAGTTAATGGCGTTATAATGAAACAATTGTGAAGCTATTGAAAAATATGATACAGATTTGTAAACGTGAACATGCTGATAAACCTTTTTCATTAGATGAGTGGGTATTGAGAGTTTATTAGGACAATGTTAAATCAAAGAATCGTGAAACTTGAAAGTCAAAATTTGAAAGTACTGACAAGGTATTAGATGATCCACATGTTATGAAGTATTTGGAAGAATTTCATTAAAAATCTGTTCATATTAGCCTCAGTGGATAAAGCGTCTTATAATGTTATTGCGATTTGTAAAGAACACATTTGTTTAATTATGGAGGAATTAGATAGTTTGAATCGAAATGCTGGAATATAGCAGCCGAAAAAGAAAAGTCGTCCCTCTATTTTTCGGTTAACATAACAGGATACACTTTAAGGCATTCCCGACATACACAATATTTTATTTGCCTTATTATCATTCAAAATGATTATTTTTGCAGTACTTGCTCATCGTGGTACTACTAAAACACGCAAATAGATGTAAAAATAAAAACAGGGTGTATATCTTGGCCGTAACAAATTCCACGTCCGTATTTGCTTGACTCGATTTCTGCCTCAAGTGTTCTGACCTCAGTAAATTCGCCTTTGTAGAACTTTGGAGGGTGAACACCAAGCGTTCGCACCGTCATAATGTGTGGCCCATCATCAGACTCACACTCTTTGCTGTCTATCACACAGTTCTCTTCATAAATTACCGAATTCTTTTTCATCATGCCGGTCCATTCTCCTTTAACATTAGAAACAGATTTTTGTCAAGCCCATTCGCTAGATCTCCATTTAAGCTACCCGTTTTAAGATTCGTAAACTTAAAAGTATGATCTATAGGCCTATTGTCCGGTCTCCCTCAATTGTTTTTTCAGGGACCTGCTAATAACCCAGATGCGAGTAGAAATAATCCTGATTTACGTCATTAAAAATTCAAAATTCAGTCAAAGTAATATCATATTTGAAATCTACATGTAAAATTACTTCTAGAAATGTGGTTTTAAAAAGTGTTTATCAACTTTGAAAAATTAATTTTCTTTGAAAAGGTGACTTCTAGCTCGGGGAGATTCCCCATAGACCCCATGCTATAAAATCACAAAAAATGAAATATCTTTTCTTTTAGTGGACAGATAATATTTTGCTTTACTGGACATATTTTCATTGGTATAAGTATCAGACACATAAGGGTTATATTAAAATTGAGCCACTTAAATTGATAATATTCAAGTTTAAGGGAACTTTCTTATATACCTGCCATGTTAATTGACCCGAATCAGCCACCTGGTGGTGAAACTGGTAACTACCTACTCGCATTTGGGTAATTATAACTAATTTCCTGAAGAATTGTAATGTGCACAATTAGGAAAGCAAATACTTGAAGGGTGATATAATCAATAGAGGACCACACCTTACTTACCTTTCTTATGTATTAAATGTATTTCTAGAGTCTAGACGTAATATGTTGCTTATTAACTAAATGTTGAAGTAGAAATTATACATAGCCTTTTATTTTTTGCCTCTCCTAAAGATCTTGGCTACGCCCCTGGATTAAATGGAATAAAGCATTTCAAATATACGCAAAGATTCGATAACATACCGCCATCGACAAAAGTATCCCCAGTTGCGACAAGAGCATATCCGACGCACTTATATAATGTGTTTCGATAATAGGTCGTCCGGTGGGCGGGTGTTGTTTCAGTTACGACTCGAAGATTCGACGCATCCGTATAACCCATGAACGTTAGATTCGCTGAAGTAATCGTTGAACCCATTTGCAGTTGCGTATCACTAACGCTAGTCATATCTACATTGTACCTTTGTTTAGCATATGCAAGAAATTTCCGACCTAAAAGTGTAATTTATTAGTAGCAAACTAATTCACAATATCACTGGTCCCCACCTGGTTATAAATTATAAACTTAACATTTTCTGTCGGTGGTAATACATGTACATAGTACATCCATTTTGTAGTAAAGACGTGAAGTCTTGATACGTAACATCTTTATAACTGTGGGGACCAGTGAATACAGATATAATATAGATTTTAAAGGTGAATTCATAGAGGATATCCTATGATTTATGAGTGATATGATTTTTATCCACGAATGGATATGATATCTGCACGAGCGAGCGTAGCGAGAGAGTGCAGATATCAATATCCATGAGTGGATTAAAATCATATCACGAGTAAATCATAGGATGTTCTTTTTATTCCATGGTTAAAGTCATCGTCAGAATCGTCGGAAATTAAGTGATTTAATTAGAATTTTCCAAACGATCCGGCGATGTTGACACTTAGCCTCGTTTTGAGTCTGAAGTAGCAAAAATCCATAAACCATCGCATACGACGTCGTATGTCATGGCTAAAAAACCGTATGCTATGGTTAAGTGAAAATTTGTCAAAAATATCATATTTTACCACTGATTACAAAAATACCGTTTTTATTTTCACATGTTATCCTATGAATATCATGCTAACTATGGAATAAAATTGAATATACTATGTTTCATATTATAGGTAACAAGTAACATTGTGACTATCAGTCTGATGGGCACGAAAATTAGGAAATTGAATGATGTACATATGTGCCAAATATCAAGGAGTAATTTCCGAAAATGATAAAGATATGGTAAAAATAACTACAAAGTTGTCATTTTTACCACCCTGTAAAATACCAAGATGTCTGATTGATAAAAACATTTACGTATTATAAGCGAAAAGAATTAATTAAAATTCACTCGGTTTTCAATTTGGCTCGTAGAAAAAATGGCCTAATTTTGGATTTGGATTTTAAAATTCATAAATATCGATGGGTCAACTGTTTTTGGCACCCGATAGAAGGTTAGACTGTTGATTTGCTATGAATCTCTCATTTCTAAAGTCCTCGAAAGTACATCAGATTTTACTTGTTTCTTTGATCCATTGTACCTACCTCGTTATAACTCACGTGTTACCCAAGATTGTCAGTTGTACCAACAAGAATGGATTTTCACTAATATAAAAGAATCAGACTAATGCCTTGGTCACATTTGCTCCGATTTTCACTACGGCGCCCGGCCGATTGAGTATTTTGTTCAAAATTGAATACAATATTGAACAAAACACTCAATCGGCCGGGCGCCGGCCGATGAATCGGAACATATGTGACCCAGGCATTAGGCAGCGTTTTTGAACTGCCAGCGGTGCAAGTATATTACATACATAATATTTAAGCTTTCCCTCTAATTATTATGGCAAAGAGCCCCTGCATTGCAGATTACACGCTCGCATGTTTTCAACAAAAACAGGTCATCCAAGTTCACTTTAACCGCTAATTACACCGTGGCAACCTTGCCGGCTAACCGCGTGTGTCAACCACGTCGGCCCGTTGCTAGTGCACCACAGGAGTTCCACTGCTATAAACCGTGAGCTCTTTCAAAAAGAATTATGTGAGTGTAGGTGTGCTTGGAGGATCTGTTTATTTTAAATCGTTTGACCATGTATTTTGCACGCCTGGGCTTATTGTTCTTTTTCGTTATATCTGAAGGAAAACGTATTGATATTTTGTAACTGACTTGCGCCGAGGGCAGTTAAAAATGCCGCCTCAGAATGCATTTTTATGCTCGCGGTGCAACTGAATTGCGTAATCTTTTAATGGTTTTTTTGACGTATCACGAAAAGATCAATAAGACCTGTAGTGCAAATTACATGATCATGTGATTTCAAAAAAGCTCGTCCAAGTCCACTTACACTCACATAATTCTTTTAAAATACATCACGGATTATTGCACGGATTGGTGCATTAGCAACTAGCCGACGCAGTTGACACACGCCACGGTGTAATTAGCGGTTTAAGTGCACTTGGATGAGCTGTTTTTTGTTGAAAACGTGCGAGCGTGTAATTTGCATCGCAGGGGCTCTTTGCCATGATACTTAGGGGGGGACTTAAATATTATGCAATATATTTGCGCCGCGGGCAGTTCAAAAACGCAGCCAGAGTATTTCGATGAATTTACCCTTTTAATTTTTGAAACTACCCATTTAATTCATGCTGTCTGTTAAGAGAAATTGAATGTTAAAATCGAATTTAATAAATAATTTTATGATGTTACACTACCATTTATCCCTAATGGTTAGTACAGGGCATTCGATAAGTATTGCTAATTTTGCCATAACTCTTGCTTTTATCTTCATGAACTTTCAAAGCATATATAACCCTACTATCAAACCAAACTAGTTATCACTACGTTCTCGAAAACGGGCGTAAACTGTGTACGAACGAATTGGTAGTAATTGGAACCGTTTGGGATACATTTACAAACGTCATGAACGTACTCGATAGGGTGACCTACTCCAGAACTTTCTCCAAATTTTGTTGATTGTTGTCACGCCCTGCAACTAGAACGAGTGACAACGTACATAAGACGAACTGGACGTACAGCGATCGGAACTGTCGTACTTCAATCCTAGTGCAGTGGGGACGTTTTTAGAACGAGTTGAATTGTCTGAGAACGTATTAAGAACGAGGTAGAACTCATTTCAAACGGGTTTGAACTGATTGAGGACGAGGTAGCAAAAATATAGCTATCACACCAAACTAGTTGCCACTTGGTTTTTAAAAACGTTGCCGAACTGGTTTTAAACATATTGTGCAAATGGAATGAACGTAGCTGCAACTATGTACGGTCTATTTACGAACTTCATAAACGTGCTTGAACGGGAAGCGCTTGAACGGGAACGTAATTGCCTTACTTCGACGGACGCGTTAACGACGTTGTGCAATCGGATATCAATTGCAGTACGTGTACACACCGACAAAGTGCGACCCGAACGAACTGCGAATAAGATGAACGTATTGAAGATTGTTTATGAACGAAGTAGCTAATTATTTTAGACATCTTTCCCGACCAAAGCCAGATTTAGCCCGTTTTACGACTTTTTGTACGACTGGAAAGAACGGTTTGGAACTAGTTTGGTGTAATAGGGGGTTAGGAACATATATCTGACCTTATTCCATCCAGATTTCTAAGTATTGACAACGTTATAGTTACTATGGTAATCATTGTCATGGGTATGCGGGGCAACTTTAAGGATTTACATGATGAATCATTGTTATACATGTACATCAACTAAACACTTTTCATGAATAAAAACGATTGATGTGGTCACGTTTTGATGTTGTCAGTTTAGTAACAAAGTCCTATATTATCATAATATACAGGAAATTGTATTAGAATAATATCAGAGATATGTTCCTTATAATGGCAAACTTTCAAAGCAAAAAACAAAAGTTATACCAAAATTAGCAATACTTATTAAAAACAAACTGATTGCGTGTCGTTGTGTCTGTTCTACAGTCTCGTTTAACAATATCACTACCTTTCTTAATGACGTCTGCGTCCGTCTTCACATCGGGATTAATCGAATTCCATATTTTTGTTAAGCCCCTTTTTGGCGAAACAATTAACGGATGTTTGTTTGATTCGGCCATCAGTGAAAACGTCACCAGTCCTTCCTCGCTTGTATTCGTTATCGTATCATCCCTAGTAGTTTCACAACTGCTGCCCTTCTTAGCTTTTCCGCACTCGAACGCGTGTGGAAAATGTGACATTAAAATCACAATAAATGCCAAATGGTTGAAGACTGTTATTCCAATCATCATCGGTATTTGTTCTGACGAATGCTTATTTGCAATGGATTATTAACTAGTAGGCAAACATTTACAGGGTGTCCAAAAATAAACATTTAATTCTATTGAATCTTAAATACAAAAGAACGATAGAAGACAAAACTGTACAGCATGAAACATAGAATATTGTGATGACGTAAATCACATTTTGATGACGTAAATAACTGAAATGTAATTTGAACTTTGAAACTACCCATTTAATTTATGCAAAATATATGCTGTGAGACCAAGTGTAAATTGATTAAGAGTATTTAACTTGAGAGATAAATGTTCAAATGATTATTTCCATAACATTCCTAATGCTCACCTTGTTAATCGAAATATATCTCGACAGAAATGAAAAAAATGGTCACAAAAATGGGGATATACGAGACTATACATGTCTACTCGTATACATGTACATGATCATGTACAGACGTTTTTGAATATTCAAATGGATAGACAGGCCACGAAATTCTTGCGAACAAAGATATTGTTTACTTGGTATAACTTTCAATCCATATCGTTTTTTGTTTCTCCTTCTAATCAAACAATCTTGTGATATCAAGAGAGTTGAAACTGCTACAAAATTGATGATACAGGGTGGGCGAAAAAAGGTAACCAAAAATTAAATCTCAATGACTCAGTCATCCCTGACATGGGTCTTAAGTCATATTTTGCACAGTTAGACCTGTTAAACAACGCTAGCAGCATGAGAGAGTTAAACCAAGGGAAGAAACATTAGAGTCATTACACAATATATTTCTGAGTATAAATTCAAAAAGCTTTACCTGATGTGTTTAAGTTAGCCTTCAAAGCCAAGACCATTTAAGGCCGTTGAGCATATTTTGTAAAATGGCCATAAAATCGTGACCATTTGGGGGTAGACAAATTGAACTTACTTGAATAAAAGAACATTGAACAAGGTTCAAGTGTGCATTATATGATTAAAATCTATACTGGATGACTGAGTTTTTAAGATTTGTTTAAGTTACCTTTTGGGCTCACCATGTTATATGTTGTTGTAACAATAATAGTAAGCTAATAAAAACGAGAAATGACATATGATAAGTGAATAAATATAATATATAACCACCGTCGGGTTATAGTTGAATTATAGTTGCTATAGTAATTGAGACAATGATACCCTGGACCGGCTAAAAATCAGGGGGCAAAATTAATATTAATGTCGCAGTTCTTTACTCATAGATAAATTATATCGACAGGATTGAGTTCAATGTTTACATTAATATTTCAAAAAGAAAACTCCAAAAATTAAGTTTCACATTTTCCGTTTGGCACATCAAATCGATGCTTCCTGGTCAACTCAACCCCAAGTCAACTCAACCCAAGTCAACTTAACCCTAAGTCAAGTCGACCCCAAGTCAAGTCGACCCTTAGTCAACTCGACCCTAAGTCATCTCGACCCTTAGTCAACTCGACCCCAAGTCATCTCGATCAACCCTTGGTCAACTCAACCCTTAGTCAAGTCGACCCAAATGATTTTACTTGTTTTAAGTAGATTAAAATACAATATAATCCAATTGTTTGTGCAGTTTGATTTGAAATCAAACTTCAAAGAAAAAAACATTTCTGTCACCTATAGATCAAAACGAAGATTTAAACTGGATCATAAAATCCCAATCTGATTGTTTATGACACCTGACATATGAGTAAGATAATGGAAAAAAGAAAAACATAAATCCCATTGTTTGTTCAATCTTGTTTTAAAATCTTACTTAAAAAAATAAACATTTCTATCGCCTGTAGATCAGAAAGAAGATTTGAACCGGATCGTATTGTTTATTATTATTATCAAAATATAAAATCATTCAATACAAAGTAATGGATGGATGTTTGCACAATGCACATGTTGCATAAGTTACCTGTTGTCAAAAATACTGTTGCAACAATTTCGGTATAACAGAAAAGTGTATAGATAATTTTTTTATTTCAGAGAGATTAAACAAGCTCAAATATTAAGGGGTGAAATATATGTATAGCATCGTGAATAGTCCTATTAAGATTAATCAAATATTATTTTGTTATTTATAAAAATTATAAATGCGTTAAGCACAAACTTTAATAGTTGATAATTTATTTTGGAAAATTAGCATTTTAGTCCCTCATTCTTTCAAAATTCATCAATATCATACCATTTGTTTTTTATGGTGGGGTCGAGTTGACTAAGGGTTGAGATGACCAAGGGTTGAGATGACTTGGGGTCGAGTTGACTAAGGGTCGAGATGACTTGGGGTCGACTTGACTAAGGGTCGACTTGACTTGGGGTCGACTTGACTAAGGGTTGAGTTGACTTGGGTTGAGTTGACTTGGGGTTGAGTTGACCAGTTACCAAATCGATCGCATATGACGTGTCACGACTCACAAGTTAGCAGAAATGTGTAGATGGTACTACTGTCTGCTTCTAAAACCAAACTACCTGACTGCTTTAAGGTTAAATCGGATCGTTATTGGTTACCAAGGCTTTGCATAAATAAAACAAACATTCTATTCTATATTGTTAAAATTATTCTATTAATTGTGTATTTAATATGTATATCATATCAGCAGCATAATCTAAAATGCAACGTTTAATAAAACATATGTTCAATTGCAATTTTCGTAGAATGAATAAGCGTTAATATATAGAATTATCAAGATCGTCATCAATCAATATCATATAAAAAACTAACCATTTTTGGTATTTTCTATTGGGTTTTAGATGATCACCATATATGACAATAATACTTGTAAGTGACGTTTAAACGTTTATATTGTTAAATAGCAAGAACATTGACTTTTGCATGATGGTGACGCTGTGGCTTTTTTAATAGATCGTATATCTTAGAAGCCTATCAGTTAAAAAATCTAGAAGACCTAACATATTTCCCCGTGTAGTGCGCCTATTCATTTAACAATTCAATAGTAAACTTACTCTTGAATAAATAAATATTCCAGATTTGTTGCATCTTCTAGCGAAAAGTAGCTACTCCCCCCCCCCCTCCTCTGTTCATTCCCTTCTATCACCGGGATTGAGTAACGTCTCTAGTTTTAGAGCCAACAAAAAGCGAGCCCATTGTCCTGTTTGAGAACCCTTTTAAATGCTTACACATGAATCTACTTGTTGAGACTCGATCAACTCGAGTTCTTCTGAGAAAATGAGGATATCAGCAAGGGTGTATTAACTTAAAAGGGGATACAATTGTTTTAAAAGGCTTAAAAGCTGCATATTATCACGTATGCTTACACTATGCTATCAGTGACATATTGTTATGGTCTCCGTTTTTTGACGGCAGTTGGTGGTTGGCGATCGGCGGTTGGCGATTGGCGTCTGTAACGAGTTCTTACAACTTTCAATAATTTATTAACAAATACTGTTTAGACTGACTTCGATTTTTTTCAAAATTATCAACAAGTTTTTAGAAGTTCAAATCTGACTTTACTTTTAAGATTTGACCTTCAATGACCTTCTCAATGTCAAAAAGGTCAAAAAGATATTTTTCAACTTGCTTCAAATTGACCAATTTATTTCAAAATCATCTACAATTTCTCAAAAGTTCAAATCTGGCTATAGATTTGACCTTCAATTATATCTTTAAGGTCAAAGGGTATTTTTTCATCTTACTTCAAATTGACCAATTTCTTCAAAATCATCTACAAGTTCTCAGAAGAATTGTGAGCAACTAGGTGGTGACATTTTGTCCCGTTACGCCTTGTTGAAAATTTTGCTAAGCTCTACGGGCTGTCCACAAAAAAAGTATACCCAACTTCAAAGCCAGGATACTTAGATTCTGAGCAATCTTTTAAAAAATACAAAGGTAGCAGTAAAATCCCAATTTGCCTCTATGAAACGGCACCTACATGTAGATCATTATGCAATTGTCATGGATGACTAAACAATCATAACTTTTATGAAAGGTGGGTAAATAAGCATTGTGCCAATCTAGCATTCAAGTAGGATTGACACAGTGAATGTTTTTTTTCTTTCAAACTTGTTCCATGTTCTTCACTTTTTGCATATTTTTCCATTCCTTTTGTTGTTACCTCCCTCTCGGGAAGTTGGATCTCAATAAAACTTCTTCATGATGATATGCTGCTTTTAAGTCAATCGTTTCCCCCTTGTTAAGTCAATACACCATTATTGCGAGAACCTAGCAAAAATTAGGCAATAGGCAAATTAAATTATTAGGCAAAATTACCACTTACAATGTGTTCCTCCCTCTGATATGCTATTAACTTTACATATAGTCTCTCTTTATAAAAATCAAAATCAACTGTTCCCGCTATGACTACTATTATCATTTTACTTTAAAGACCGTGAAGTAGGCTAACCTGTCCCTCGAAATTTTAAAAGATTTCTCTGCAGATTCGGTGTGTTTATCTCTCTTGATATTCGTGTATACTCCACTGCTAAGCTATTTTTCTTTGTGGCCATTCTTTGAAGGAACCCGCATAGATCCATTGCGTATCACGAAGAGCATACCTACATTAAGGATTCCAGTTATGGACATTTTATAATGATAACTCCTCATAATTGTTACACGACGCACATATGAACTGCAAGCAAAATAACCTGGTACCACCCCTGTCGATTACATTTATTGCAGGTTATTGTGAGATTTGTTGAGATAAAATATAACTATTAACCGGTCAGTATCATGGAAAGGATTGGTATCGATATGGCCAACTGAATTGAACACATGTTTCTCTTAAACCAGTTATCAAAAATTCTGAAATATGTACATATCTTCAATTAATGATCATCTTTTGAAGGGTAACAATTTAATTTGAAAACTATATACATATATCTCTATATTGTTTTAGAAAACACACCAGACACTTCTTTTTTTCTCGGTAACATACATTCGAAATGAAATGAGACATATATATCCGGACCTCATTGGGACAAAATGACATATACACAACGCGTTTAGGTCTCTCAATATTCTAATTGTACAAACGAAAAATTGGTTCATTTGAAAAAAGAATTTTGTTAATGAAATAAAAGATTTACTTTAATTTCTATTTTGGGGTTTTTCTAAATTTTCTTCAATACTTGTTTGTTAAATGAACCAAACTTTCCTTTGTATAAATATAATATTAAGTTACAAAACAATAATATAAAATATATATAAATAATGCTCGCATTAAACTGTTGTCAATCAGTGACCATTACATAAATGACCACCATGTTTTACAGAATGTTTTCAATAATTGGTTTGGGAGAAAAACAATGTTGAATTCAGTTCACCATATCGATACCAATCCTTTGCGGAAAACATGTTCTTTCAAAACGGCGGATTGTAAATGTAGGGTTCCGTTTCAATTGATTTAACCAGTTTTCTGTGAACATTGGGGTTTCAACATTTCGACAACGATAACGTGTTCCTGTTTCGCGTGTGGACACCACAACGCTTTTAAAGCAAAGTAAAGGCGAATAAAGGCGAATTGTAGATTATAAGGCTAAACATGACTTCACGATTAGAACAGGCGCAATTCAGAAAAATACTAGACTGTTTCCATTATAATTGGTAAATTCAAAGTGAATTCTTTTGAGAACGTCCTACGCCAATTTGAGGATTTTCTACTCTGTTAAAAACCAGCATAAGTGCGCCATTTCGGACAAATATCTCCCCGGATGTAGATCCTTTTGACATCAGAGAGTGTTGTCTAGGAAACTACAATGTTGACGCACAGTGTAACTTGCCAGAAAGAGTCCCTGTGATAAGGTTTGATGAATGTGTAATAGCGTTTCACAATGATGCAATAGATTACATGATACCAATGATCAGAAAATATGAACACACCGATGTATGGGGCCCATGAAAACATTTCCACACGAAGGCTTATTTCATGTTCAGCAAACAAATTTCGAGGTTCACACCAATGAACGTGCACAATAAAATACATCCGGAGAACCCCCTTTTCAGCTTGCACCAATTCAAGAATCAATCGCTCCGTGGAAATGCATCTAGACATTTTAAAAAATGAATCAAGACGATGAAATCAATATAGTGTACAAAACAAAACCAACCGCTAAAACAGACGCAGGCGAAACCATCTGGAAAAAAACACAGTAAAAAATAAGCTAAATATCCTGTTCTATTTAGAGTTCTTCATATCTATATGGTGAGATATCAAAAACCTTATACTGACCACTTAAGTATCAAGTACAAACCAGCTATGGTTATTTCTTACTTTTAACGGAGTAGGGAATAAAAAAACCTAGAATTGCATATTTAACATATAGGTCACGATTTTTTACCAAAGTATCATTAAAACCTCTATTTTTGATATCTCCCAAACTGGCGTTGAAAAGAAGCCCCATTTAAAAAGTGGCGTTTAAATTTTGTAAAATCCTCATTAGCTGCATTTATAAACAGTTATCAATATGGCTTTACTAGTATCATTTTTCTCAAATAGTCCGACTATGAAATGTTCTATTGACGGTAGAGTGGTGTAAAATAACACTTATTGGAGAGTTATGCTTCCAAAGTGAAGCGTTTCTTTAGGTGTAAATGGGCATGTAATTTTTCTAATTTCTTTAACCGTATTTTATCTCTCACATGAACTCCAAAGTTTAACAATTTGGCGTATACGTTTGCCAAAAACTATTTATTTTCCAGGCGAATTCGAATAAAGAATGCAATGGAATATGCATTCGAAACGGTATTGGGCGTCATTAACGAATACAACTACTGTATGCCCTTCTATATGACGGATAATTTATCAAGAAATTCCAATGTTAAAAAACATGCCAGCTCATGTTACATTTGCAAACCGGTTGCGTTAAATTTCTGAATTCTATGTGTCGGTGTTACAGTAAGTTTCATGACAATATTAAGCAAGTTATATGTAAATATTAATTATGATATAATGAATCGATAAAAAAAGTTTAACGTATATTCCAGATCTGTTAGATAATATAAAGAGAACTTATATATAATATAAGGGGAACTTAAACAATATAAACAATAAGCATATTATTCAAAAGGGAACACTTATTGACCATTTTTTATGTTATTTAAACATTGCCATGTTTATGTTCAAATGTTTAGATGAACCATTTGGCTTTCCAATACATATTTTCAATAATTATTTCAATATCGCACAACATCACCATGACACAAAATCAAAACATATTTTACCCAAGGCTAAGTACCGTATACGGGTTGGCTGGGATTCTGTAAATCCATTGGTCCATCAAACATAACAAATTACCAAATAAATTTAGGGATAGTCTCAACATAGATTTGTTTAAGGCAGCTCTTAAAACACTTAATTTCATCGTATTAATTGTATTTGTGATACTTAGATACAGATAAGACCTTTCACTAATATTTTTATGTTCCAATACTATGGCATTTTTAGCGTCTTTATTGTTGAATATTGTTGAATAAAGACGCTAAAAATACTTCTATAACTAATTGTTGTGCCTTTACATGACCTTTTACCTAGACACTCATAAGTGGATCCATGGTAGCAGGGCCTGTACCGCTGTCTCTACAGGAGGGAGTTTCTCATCGGGTTTCATAACATAGCCTTTTAGCTTGATAGCCTGGTCAGTTCATATGTTGACTTAACCTTGACTGTGAGTACACGGCTCTGGTGTGATCAAAACTACAAATCCAACTCAATTTAAATTTTACATTTTTCTACTTTTTGATATGTTTTTAACTGATATCAATACACAATATTAGCCTAATTAAAAAAAGCTTGCAATATTGGATGTTTAATTAATTTCCATTTAGCCTAGCCTAACTTGGCCTAAAAGTGTCACGTAAAATGAAGAATTGCATGGAAGGTCAGATCTGCAAGTAAAACCATCTAGACCATTTTAACGAAAACAAACTATTTTAAGGTCAATTTTGATTATTTAAATCTTCTTGATCTATTCTCTTTCAGTTCATAGCAATATATCCTGGATAGAGGAAGACTTCTCTATTAAACCTTATCTAGTGATTTAAATCATGGAAATACAAGTTGTGTGCTCTTAAAACGAATGTTGTTGCTTTTTAACACTTTAATTTTAACTACGTTTTTAAAAAGCGTTTTTCCTGTGTTTATCGTTAATAACCGTTTGAGATTTTATTCGAAACACTTTTATTAACACTGTTACACTTGAAAAACGCATTTAAACTACCAACGCTTCAAAAACGCCTAACGTTTATAACGAGATACGCATGCGCAGTCTTTTCTAACCATATCCGGTCTCAAGGGTGCAGACGAAATTGGTAGCCTAAGTTCTGTTTCTTCGTGTTTTATTTAATGGTGCGAGGTCAAACGCATAGATTGTTCGTTAACTACATAAATGTATATCATACCAAGGAACACGATGGACATGTATATTAAATGATACACTTAATGTGTGTCTCATAATTCCCACATGAAAAATGTCAAGATGCTATAGTTGCCAATATTTCAAAATGGCGGATGTCCAACCCAAATAAACACAAAGCGTTGAAATACGTTGTCGATCGCATTCCTTGGTATTTCGGATATTCCAGTAGAAAAAAGTGAACCATTGAATAAAACATGAAAAAATGAAGAAACAGAGATAACCAATTGCGTCTGCACCCTTTAAGTGTTTCAGAAGTGTTTCACATTAACACTTTTTAACACATTGTTGGGGATAAACACGTTTTCGTATTAATTATCTGTTGCAAGCCCTGAAACACGTTTTTTGTTAAAAATAAAAACACATAAACACGTTAAAATGTATAATTTAAATACACTTAAACATGTTAATATTTAAAAAACAAACACACAAACGTGTTAATAAACGCATATACAATGACGTACAAACGTTGATATTAACGTCGAAACGTGTGAATTAAAAAAGTATTAACATTGAAACGTGTTAATTATCTGTTGCAAATAAGTGTTAAAAGAAGCGTTGTTTTGGCGTTTCTAAGTTTTAGAGATATAGAATGTAGAATGATTGACATTGGAATGTCAACAGAATGTTAAAACTTTTGAATAACTATGTAAAGTCACATTGGCGTGTTAGGTTAACGTCCCTTAATGCATGTTAAATGGTATAGCCTACTGCCCAATGTGAAAGTGGAAGGGTAATTTAATAGCCATACTAGAATAGCCAGATTGTATTTAAATTGAATAAAATCCTCAGTTTTTTATTTAAAGTTGTATTCACTTTAAATTTAAATCAAAATGTCATCGGGGATGGACCGGTGGGTTGACGATTCCCTGCGTAGTATCTTTGAACTCTACAAGAACTGCTACAAGAAAAACGCGATAAACAAACATATATCTGACCTTAAATTTGAAACCCTCTGTCACGTGATTAAGAGCGAAGTATTTCTTATCCAAAACAAACCTGATCTTAACATTTAGACCCAACAGTGTTAGAGCTACTGACCGAAATAACACATGTTGAAATGGAAAGCACACGAAAATGTGCATGTAAAAATAAAAGAATACTTGCTATTATCATAGTCATAATCATATTCGTGAACATTTTAGCATCATTACACTTTAAACAACCATTACGCTATGAACAACAGTACCAAAACAGGATCAACCAATCAAGGAAACAGTTTCTTTACTTGGTTCAAACAGAAGAGTGTTTGCCAGATGATTTACTCCAGAAGCCAGTGTTAGGAGATGCATATACTGCTGATGTTCTTGTACTAAGCTTTAAGGGGGAGTGTCAACTTGAAAATAACACGAAACACGTGATGTACAGTTTGTACACCTATAGCCAGGATAATGGTAGTACATGGGAATCTGGACGTAACTATTTATACACATATGCAAAGGAATATCTAAGACCATACACCTATTACATCTTTATGGATGATGATCTCGATTTTCTTGTGACAAAATCAAAGTTTCTTCAAGATGAACTCGTTCAACAAGTAAAAACAAATGTGCCAATCCTTCGCCAGTTTGAGGATTTTCTGCTACGTTCAAAACCAGCATTGAGCGCACCATTTAGGATAAATTACTCCCCGACGGATGATCCATATGACATCAGAGAGTGTTGTCTTGGTAACTACAATTTTGACGCGTTGTGGAACTTGCCAGAAAGAGTCCCTATGATAAGATTTGATGAATGTTTCATCGCGATTCACAAGGATGCAATAGATTACATGATGCCAATGATCAGAAAATATGAACACACCGATCTATGGGGCTCATGCAAACATTTCCACATGAAGGCTTATTTCATGTTCCGCAGACAAATGTCGAGGTTTACACCAATGACTGTATACAACAAAAGACATAAAACAAATCCTCAAGATACAGTCACATACGCAGATGTGATAAGCAATATTTTACTTGAAACTCCAAACGAACTCAGAGCGAAGCCGATTTTCTTAAATGCTAAAAGAGGCCTTGCGAAAAAGTATGTGCAAACGTATATCATGGTTGATCCAAGAAAACCGCCTTTTCAACTTGCACCAATTAAAGACCCAATTGCTCCATGGAAATATATAGACATCTCGGAAAATGAATCAAGATGATGAAATAAAGTTAAGGCACATAACCAACAGCTAAAACAAAACAAAGTCATCAATGAAAACACTATGAAATGGACTATATCTCCGGTTTTATTTAGACTTTGCATATTTCTCCATTTTGAAATCAAATATCTGATACGGACCACTTTGAGTATTATACCAGTTATAACACATTACTTTAGGTATACCAGAGAATAATTACAATGTAAACGTCATCACCCTGCTATAACATGACGGTTACGCCACCTCTGAAAACGAGGTTGGACGGCTACGTTCACTGATTTATCCAATAAAATTTAGGTTGGTGCATTATTTTCAACTACTGTGTATCAATGAAAGGATGAGCGATTTATGTAAGCATCGCATTCGGTGATGCATTTAGTAATGAATATTTTGAACGTAGTCTTTGCAAATTGAAGCCGGTGGATAACATGAAATAAGCAAAAAACTGTCGAGTTTGAAATTCAAAACTACACAAAATTTAGTAATTTGTTTATTTTTGTCGGTAGGGCATGGTCTTCATTGCCTATCGACCTCGGGGTATATAGATATAACCTACGTGTACATACGATCATAAAAAGCCAATTTAGCATTGGAAACCACCTAATATGTTTTACTCAAGCCATAATAATGTATTTTAAATTTGCTTTTACGCTGATGGACGGTCACACGAACTTCAAATATGTTCAAATATGTATCCCCGATTCGTTGTTATTAATTTTGTCATATTCATCAGTGCTTCTTTAGCTAATTCTTATTTTGCCTCTTCATTGCTATCTTTTTGACTTTCATTGGTTCTATAAATAAAGTAAGACACACGTTTTTCTTGTCCTATAGAGGCTCAAACAAGAGCGTCTCTTGCGAGTCCTGAAATCATATATAAGCAATTCAATGTTCCATTTCTTACCCATTATAACAATAATATGGAAAGAGGCTATCAGATGTACAACCATTACAATACGTTCCCGTCCATAGAATTCATACGTAGTCATCTAACGACATTGCGTTTGCAACCTTACTATTTTCAATATACACCACGTTCCTGTTCTGAATTTGTCATTTTATGGCTTGTTTATACACAGTTTATTAACAATTAATAGTTTGAGTGGCTCTGAAGGCACATATACTGAGAAAACACGAGAATGGACTTAAAATTAAAGCTTATATTCTGCTTCTAGTAAACCAGCTGGCAGATTTGACCCAGTCTTTATAACCATCCATATATATGTCGTCGAATGGAACTAGTTGAAAAGGAAATCGTATCTGTGAAACTTGCCTACAGGAGAGAAAGAGGACATGCTGTCTTTCCCATCCGCCATTTTTTGTTATCGTTACCGCATAATTTTGCAAATCGCCTTGACGTAACCGTCATGCTATATCGTGTTCATATTCGATATTATATTTAGGAAGAAAATGTTCTATCATATGCTAAATACATCTGCCTTTTTTTCTTTAAACTGGTCATTACATTCTATAGTTGGAATCAAACGCACTGAATATGTGTCACCGTCCAGGCGTGACCGATTATCATTGGGGTTTTTTCCAGGATCTTGTGGATCTCTGGTAGAAATTTCTTAAGTCCGAAATGTGGCCGAAATTCTTAAAGTCCAAAAGTAGCGAATATTTTCTAAGTCCATTTTGGTTTAACTTTCTTCCGTAGTTTTGTTAGCATTTGATTGATTCCAATTTCCGAATCTCCTTACTGCAATTCGGCACTTGTTTATACAGGTAGAGCTACATTGATCAATCTGTCAAAATATTGCTGATATTTGCTATAATTTGGGCTTAAATTACGCTTATCAGCAGATATTTGTATTTGTATTTAGATTTTGATTGGGTAATAATAAACATCAATTTGATATTTTTGACAGAAAATAGCGTTTTGTTACTATAATAAATATATTACCAGTTCCAACGTGTTGCAGGTGAAACAGTACATTCTATTGTCATTAATCATTTAAGTTACGTTAAGTTCTAGACAGATGATCTTACATCGAGATTATTGTATTACTCATACCCGTAGACACTTGGAATATTAATACATTAATTTATATAAATCATTAATTATAATTACTAATTAATCTGGAAAACGGGTAACATATGATACACGCAGTTGATTCTGTGCAATAAAACAACTTATATTTTTATTTATTTATTTTTTTATAATTTTTTTTATTTCAAAGAATAAGCATGTTAAAGCAATCGCAAAAAACAATTACAATACAGTTACATGGTAAACCTACATTTAACAATTTTACAATACAGTACAGTGGTTATAGACACCAGCATACATGTATATTCATCAGCTTTTATATCTCCAAGTAAAACCAGCAGAGGCAATCTAGTGTATCAACGACAAAGGCGTTGAGTTAAGTTATAAAGGATAATCTCTGTTAGATTCCCTCTCGGCTGTTACTTTTATAAAAAGTACATAACCACCATGTATATTAATATATTTCGTCGATCAATTTTACCTAGCTTTATTGAGTTTGATAATTGCATCAATTAAAATGAGTCCTGTTCCTTTACAGAAATTTGCACTGTGACTGATATCTATAATGTTAACATTGCTTTTGAGATGACGCCATTGGTTACCTGGTATACAGGTATATGCGAATGATAACTACATGTACCATCTGCTAACTCTCTGGTATATATTCATCAACATATTAATATTCAATTTTATTAAGTATACGTGTGATAACTATTGACCGCATGGTGAAATGGAAAGCACAAGAAAAGGTACTGGTTACATTAAAAGAATACTTGCCATTATCATAGCAATAACCATCATTGTGAACATTTTAGTATTATTGCACTTTAAACAACCATTACGCTATGAACAACAGTACCAAAACAGGATCAACCAGTCAAGGAAACAGTTTCTTTACTTGGTTCAAACAGAAGAGTGTTTGCCAGATAATTTACTCGGGAAGCCAGTGTTAGGAGATGCATATACTGCTGATGTTCTTGTACTCAGCTTTAAGAGAGAGTGTAAATATGACAAAAATATGAAACACTTGATATACATCTATAGCCAGGATAAAGGTACTACATGGGAATCTGGACGTAATTATCTATACACATTTGCAAAGGAACATTTAAAAACATACACCTATTACATCTTTATGGATGATGATCTGGATTTCTTTGTGACCAAATCAAAGTTCCTTCAAGAGGAACTCGTTCAACAAGTCCAGCAATCAGATGTGTCAATCCTACGCCAATTCGAGGATTTTCTCCTACGTTCGAAACCAGCATTAAGTGCACCATTTAGGATTAATTATTCCCCGGATGATGATCCATATGACATTGTAGAATGTTGTCTAGGAAACTACAATGTTGACACACAATGGAACTTGTCAGAGAAAGTTCCTATGATAAGATTTGATGAATGTTTTATCGCGATTCACAAGGATGCAGTAGATCACATTATGCCAATAATTACAAAATATGAACACATTGATGTATGGGGCTCATGCAAATATTTCCACATGAAAGCTTATTTTATGTTTCGCAAACAAATGTCTAGGTTCACACCAATGACTGTGTATAACAAAAGACACAATACGTACCCCCAAAACACCGTCACGTACCCAGATGTGATAAGTAATATTTTACTTGAAACTCCAAACAAACTCAGAGAGAAGCCGATTTTCTTAAACGCTAAAAGAGGCCTTGCGATAAAGTCTGTGCAAACGTATATCATGGTTGATCCCAGAAAACCGCCTTTTCAACTTGCACCAATTGAAGACCCAATCGCTCCATGGAAATACATAGATATTTTGGAAAATGAATCAAGGTGATGAAATCAATTTAGCCTAGAAATCCAATTGCAAAAATACAAAAAAGTACTAAGATAGTACTCATGGCAACTTGGAACTAATTGAATACTTATTTTAGCAAATAGTAATACTACATGAGCACTTATGACATGAGTAGCCTACTAACTGACTAATTCATTGCATGTTTTAGTACTAAATGAGTACTCACATGATGAGTGATAAAATGTGCTAATTCCATACTCAATGAGCACTCATATTATGAGCACTAATTAAGTGCATGTTTTAGTACTAAAGTGTATATCATGAGTGATGAAATAGTGCTAATTTCATTGATATTTCATAACTCAATGAGTGCTCATACTATGAGTACTAATTTATTGCACATGTATCATGAGTGACGAAATAGTACTCAAAAATTTAAATGTTGATAAACTTTTTTAATTGATGAAGTAAAATACAGAATACGCAATAAATTACTAGTAAAAAGTAATAAAGTAACTTTTAGTTCTTTATATTCACGGAGATTATGGCATTATTCAAAAACTGATATTACATTATTAAATGATGCCATCAGGAGAGCTCAATTTGATGACCTAGTTGAATCTTTAAACATTGATATATTTTTTCTGTGTAATTATTAACATTGACATACTTGTTGATAATTTTAATGACAAGCTTTTTGACATTTTTTGGACCGAATTCCAAATACTCTCGTTAATGTAGAAAGCTCAGATAAATCCTGGTTTAATCATAATATTAAGACAATGATTAACAAAATATACAAACTTCATTTCAAAATCTCACAATTTGACATACTTAAACAAATATAATGAACAATGTACACTCGTGAATCAAGCAATAAATTAGGCTAAAGATGCCTTGACTCAACATGCGAAAGAAATTATCAACTTTTAAATATGGCAGTATGTCATACTGGGCAATAATATCCAGACTTCTCGGCAAATCAAAAAACTCAAAAAAACTTCACTTTTTGACCAACTAAGAAACATATTGTTAAAGGCCATGACAATGCTAATTTATTTTAGTCTCATTTTATCAAAAATTTCCATCGTAATAATGATTTAGGTAACATCCACATAGTCCCAAGAACTGAAAACACTGGCAATATTTTATCCACTCATGAAGATGAAGTCTTTGAATTGTTACTCTCAATATAAAAAAGCCACAGGCCCTGATCAAATAAGTAACAGAATGTTAAAAATGGCAGCGCCAGCTCTTTCTGCATCCTTATCAAAATTAATTAACAAGATCTTTACCCTTAATTCATTTCCACAAAAATGGAAACTTGGTCACATTTTGCTTATTCATAAAAAAAGGGGATAAAACTGATGTCAATTACTCATCTTTGGTGTTTGTCAAAAATAGCTGAACGCATTATCTTCAAAAGAATATTTGACCATCTCATCAGAAATGATCTGTTTTACAAATTTTTGACTATTCTCTTCCTGTGTGTAAACTTAACAAAATTAAAATTAATTGATCAGCTTTATTATAAGGCAGCCTGTTTATGCTCTGGAGTCGTTTATGGCACATCGTGTACTAAAGTTTTGAACTGTTTAAATTTGGACATCACTAGCGGAAAGACGCAAATACCACAGCAATATTCTTGTGTTTAGATCGCTGAATAATTTGGTACCAACATATATTTCAAGTATTTTCCAAAGATTCCGTAGACATCATACAGTTAACGTTCAAAGAATTGCTTCTCTTCAAATCCCAACTAAAATTACATCATTTTCACATAGATCCTGTATTTTACATTCAATGATGGATTGGAATTCCCTTTCAAACCCCCTTATAGACGCTGAGAATTTAAGAAAGAGTTATCCAATTCAATTCCTCGATCATCTGAACTTAATATTTTAAGAAATCAAGAAATTATACTTAACACGGGTTGTTGTGACTTAATTTTTAAGTCACATCTATACTCCCACAATTTTACAAACGTTACTTCACCTGCATGTCCTTGTGGTCATGCAAATGAAACAACGATTCATGTAAATCTATTCATGTTATTTTTTCCTGTATACTTCGTGCTCCATTCTTATGCCTTGGTCACATAGGCTCCGATTTTCACTACGGCGCCCGGCCGATGAGTATTTTGTTCAAAATCGGCCGGCGTGCCCGGGCATCGTACGGACGCCGGGCGATGATCGCCACTCATCGGCCGATTTTTAGACATCGTACGGGCGCCGGCAAGGTTTTATCGCGGAGATAAAAGTTGCCGATGTCTTGGCGATTTTTTCTCGACCAAACTCATCGGTACCTACCCGGCCGTGTCCCGTCCGATCATCGTACGATTATCTTATGGTACGTTCACACCAACGGCGCTTTGATGGCGCTTTAAAGCGGCTTGTAAAGCGGCACCAAAGCGTAACAAAGCTTAATTAAAGCGTCGGGGTCGTAATAGGTCGTAGAAAAGCTCGGGAGTAAAGCGGGATATTCGGCAAGAGCGCTAAAAAATTTAAACTGTTTAAGCGTTCGCACCAACGGCGCTTTGATGGCGCTTTAAAGCGGATTGTAAAGCGGCACCAAAGCGTAACAAAGCTTGATTAAAGCGTCGGGATCGTAATAGGTCGTAGAAAAGTTCGGAGTAAAGCGGGATATTCGGCAAGAGCGCCAAAAAATGTTAAACTGTTTAAAAATTTTGGGCGCTCTGTTACGAATTGATTGAAGCGCCGAGAGCGTATCAAAGTTGAACAAACCGTAACAAAGCTCAACAAAGCTTGACTCAAAGCGTAGGAAAGCTTAACACAGCTTGGTTCAAAGCGGGGACCCCAGTCTATTCACGGTCTGTTACCACTTGACACGCTTCGTTAAGATGTCTCAATATTTGCTACGATCTGGCATGAAGATCTGACACGAGGTCAGACGCTTTCATCAATATCTGACACTCTTTGTTACACTTTCCTGAGGGACTCTCAAGCTTTCCAACGAATTGAGACGCTTTAATCAAGGATTGAAACGCTCTGCTAGGCTTTGTTACGCTTGAAAGTTTTCACACGCTATATCACGCCGTGCGACAAACGTCATGTCTTCTTCAGATAGGTCATGCTTTGGTCCATCTGGAATTTCTGGATCTCGTTGTTCTGCCATCGTGTTCTCGAGTCAAAGATGCAATGGTTTTATGGATCTACTGCATCTTTATATAGTCATTGGATCAAAAGCGGCATGGAATCGGCGATCTCGACATTTTCCAATGCGTGACAGAGCTTAACAGAGCGTAACAATGCACAACAGAGTTTTGCAATCGTATCAGAGCCTGATTTAAAGCGTCATAATCGCATCATAGCGTAATAATGCTTATCAAAGCTTTTCAAAGCGTGATTTCAAGCGTAACAAAGCCTGATCAAAGCGGGATCAAAGCGTGAGGAACCTTTTAGAGCTATGTTAAGCTTTCCTACGCTTTGGATCAAGTTTTTCTGAGCTTTGTTACGGTTTGTTAAGCTTTGATACGCTCTCGGCGCTTAATCGATTCGTAACAGAGCGCCCAAATTTTTTTAAGAGTTTAAAATTTTTTGGCGCTCTTGCCGAATAACCCGTTCTACTCTGAGCTTTTCTACGACCTATTACGACCCCTACGCTTTAATCAAACTTTGTTACGCTTTGGTGCCGCTTTACAAGCCGCTTTAAAGCGCCATCAAAGCGCCGTTGGTATGAAGAAAAATGACAAAAATGACGGCGCTTTGCTCGCTGATTTAAAGCGTGGCATTCGCCGTTGGTGTGAACGTACCTTTACCACTGGTGATCCACTCGATTACGCTGGTTACCAAAACGGTTCGTTTTGGTAACAAAATGTCGGAACATCCGGAAGGTACGATTTTTCTCGTTTCCTTATTTTACACGTTGTAGGTAGAATTCCCACGACATTTTTTAACACAAACTTGTATCAGTATCATATGTTTAAGAAAGTGTACACATTTGCGAACAAATAGTTCAGAAGACAACAGAATCGTCGATTTACTTCCTCACTTAAGTTACATAAACGGTTTGGGTTAAAAGTGCAGATCTTAACTGTTTTTCGAAAAAACGTTTATGTAACTTAAGTGAGGAAGTAAATCGATGATTCTGTTGTCCTCTGAGCTATTTTTTCGCAAACATGTACATTTTCTAAAACATATGATACTGATGCACGTTGTGAGAAAAAACGTCGTGGGGATTCTGCCTACAACGCGTGAAATTAGGAAAAAAAGAAAAATCGTGCCTTCGACGTTCCGACATTTTGTTACCAAAACGGTTCGTTTTGGTAACCAGCGTAATCGAGTGGATCACCAGTGTTTACGGCGCCCGGTGGCATCGCACGGTCATCTTGGGATTTTGCGTGCTGATTTGTTTGATAAATCTTACTTATAAAGTGATATAAAGGTTTTAAAAATAATGAGGTAAAGAATTATAATTACTACACACTGTCAGAGATTTTTTATAAAAGATAAATGGAACGATTAGGCTTACTGTAAAACAATGACACACATTTGAATGGCTGGGTGGGTGGGTTGATCTAGTCGTTCTTATATTGACATTAATCGTGTATGTCTGTCATACACATTGAATAGAGTGATACATTTCTATGCGTATATTCACTCATGCATATACCATTACAAATCATTTATTTTAAAAATCTTCTAAATGTTTTTGCATACAGTTTTTTCAAGGGTCGCAATTTTAATGCGAAAGTTCACTGTCTCGATTACAGTTAATATGCCAAAGGCTAAGGATAGAGGGGATAAGGCCAATGGGCCATATATCAGGAAGGCCTTGGGAAGACAGGTGGAAAAAGACAATAACAATGCAAGTGAGCTGGTGGATGATGTGAAGATTTAGATGTGTCTAGGGAAGAGGGTACTCCACTTAAAATAGAAGAAAAAATCGCCAATTTCTTTGAAGATATATTTTATGACTAAACAAATTCTCTTTACGAGAACAGACAAAAGAAAGATGCAGAAATATGGAATTTTGCTAGTAGCATCGGATGGACAGGGTAGACATAGTATTTGTTTATATGAAAGATCTAAAAATGAATTAAGGTCAGGGTTCACTTTGATGAAAAGACCACGTGCAGTATGGCAAGTGATTTTAGACGGTCATATCTTTCACCATGAGTACTTTCTGGGCATAAATGCAGTGTTTTTATTAAAACAATATGTTTTCTTTCAATGGAAGTACCCATGATACTAAAAATATCAATCAAACAATTTGAAAAATTATGAATAGGGACCCCATGTCAGCATTTTTTCTAAATATTCAACCTATTTACTCAAAAGAGGATCTTTCTGATTTTTATTGCATGAAAACGTTATTATCCTGGAAGGCCTGTCTATCGAAGTATTTCGTTTTCAAATCTTGCATTCACGCCATGTGGAACAGTCATACCGGTGTAACA